CGCCAGTTTAAGGGACAATTTGTTTGCATTGTGTGTTAAACTGATACCCGTTTGCATCACAGCTGGCTTCTTGGGGACCAATAGATGACCCAAGGGGCCACATCTGACCCCGACAACCCTGTCGCATGAAAGATATTTTCATGAGACCCTGGATGTTTTAAATTGGCACTTTTTGTATAATATTTGGATTGAACTGTGACGGCATGAAGTTACTCCCCAAGTCCAGAATCAGCGCGTCAAAACTCCTCTTATGTTACATTCTGTGTCAGGAAAACAGAAACTTCCTTTGAATACCACAAAGCCCTGGTGCAGCAGAATCTGCCTTTTCTCAGAGGCTTTCCACTCAGTTAAAACACAGAGGAAACACGTATAAAATCATTGAACTATCCAAGGATATTTTCTTGACAGGGCCTCTCTAACCCATTACGATCTTTACCTTTGCTGTATTGGATCTGTATGTTTTGTTTTTGTGGTTTTACTGTGCCGTGATTGGTCGTTGGTCTCGATTCCCTGTTTATATTCTCGTAATATCTTTGTTTTCTTACAGAGACCTTTCTATAGGAAACCTTGAATTCTTTTGGATTTATTTTTGTATCACTCTCTTTGAGGTTCACTGAAGGAGAAACTGGCAAAGGAGATGTTGATGCCTTAATCTGTGTACTTCGAGGTGGTTTTTAGACTTTTGTTTCTATGTTTTTATTGTGAATTACACTCAGCATTGATTGATAACTTTGTTTTGATAAATTCTGTACTAATCAGAAATAAATAAAAACTTCTCTCAGAGCTGTTGTATTGTATTTGGTATTACATAAAAGTAGATTTATACATCTACTCCCTTACATCCCAGAGGTAAATCACATATTGTTTACAAGATAAATACTGTAAAACTTCAAGATATATCCCTGATTTTTTAAAGTTTGGACAGGCTTTTAATTCTGTTCAGCAGAGTAGGAGATATCAAATTGTTCATTTAAACCAAAATGAATATTACTTGTATAAAAATTAGGCTGTCAAATAACATATCAATTTCCAATCATTCATTTGATCAAGCTCCGACAGAGAGCATTATCCTCTTTAATGAGCAGTGTAAGATTTGCAGGGATTTGGCGGCATCTAGTGGTGAGGATATCAGATTGCAGCCATCTGTAACTTCTCCTGGTTAGAATTCCCTCAGTTTTCATTGTTGAGGAGGTTTTTACCAGGAGCTGAATTAGCCACAGAGGTCTCTTCCTCTCCAGTTTCTCCAACACAGTTTGGCAAGTAGGCTCACCTTTGTGCTCACCTTTTTTCTTTAATAACTTAAGATCCAGACGTTCAGGAAGTTTTTACCGGGAGTCGAAATATCTGCAGGGGTCTCTTCCTCTCCAAAACAAATGGTCCAAGTGATTTAAAGCAGTTTCATGCCAGTAACTTAGTGTTTCTCCAACACCATTTAACAAGTTACAGACACGCCGCTAGCCCAGTGCCTGCTATGTGCACTCATCTTTTTTCTCTGATAACTTAATGTGTGCTCAGCTCATTTCTGATTCAGATGTTCAGGAAGTTTCTCCTCCTCTACAAAAACAGACAGACAAGGATATTTAAACTGGTGAAAACACTGAATAGAGCAGGTTCACATTATAAATCAGTGTTTCTCCAATGCTGTTTGGCTTGACAGAGACAGGCTGCTAACTAGCACCTGCTAATGTGTTCTCACCTTTAGTCTTTGATCATTTCTGATCCGGATGTTCATGAAGTTTTTACCAGGAGCTGAATTATCAACAGAGGTCTCCTCCTCTCCAAAACAAAAACACTGAGTGAAGCAGTTTCACACACAAATCAATATTTCTCCCACACTGTTTGGCATATTGGAGACAAGCCACTAACTCAGCACCTGCCCATGTTTGCTCATATCTATTTTCTGATAACTTCAGACATTCAGGAGCTTTTCACCAGGAGCTGAATTATCCACAGAGGTCTCCTCCTCTCCAAAACAAACAAACCAGGTGATTTAAAGCGGTAAAAACACTGAATGAAGTAGTGTCAGGTTACAAATTTGATGCTGTTTGGCATGTCCAACACAGGCTGCCAACCTAACACCTGCTAATGTATGCCCACTTATTTTCTCAGGAAACTTAAAGAAGTTCAGGTGGTCTCCTCCTCTCCAAAACAAACGGACCAGGTGATTTAAACTGGTAAAAACACTGAAAGAAGTTTCACATTTAAAAATCAGTGTTTCTCCAATGACGCTCATTACAAAGGGGATGCTAACCACGGTGGCCAGCATGAAAACACGAATGGCCATGTCTAGGGTCAGTGTTTGGTTTGTCTGTTCTGGGTTACTGTAGAAACATGGCGGTGCAACATGGTAATCTCCGGAGACCAGGACCTGCTTGCTTTAAATCTTAATTTACAGGCATGGGGCACATAGTTTCAGTTAAATGAACTAAAAGATTCAAATGTGGAGAATCTAACTGAGCTAATAATGTGTAGCATATCCATACTGACAAACGTTTATATTCGGTTGTGCACTCTAATGTTAGCTCAAGCAGGTAGCCAACGACCCAGTGGGCTTTTAGAGGTTTTATACATCCAAATATACACTTAACGGCCACTTTATTAGGTACATCTGTTCACCTGCTCAACACAAATAGCTCATCAGCTGGTCACATGGCAGCAACTCAATGCATTTAGTCATGTAGACATGGTGAAGACGAGCTGCTGAAGTTCAAACGGAGCATCAGAATGATGAAGAAAGGTGATTTAAGTGACTTTGAACGTGGCATGGTTGTTGGTGCCAGACGGGCTGGTCTGAGTATTTACTGGGATTTTCAGCACAACCATCTCTAGGGTTTACAGAGGATGGTCCCAAAAAGAGAAAATATCCAGTGAGCCAAAATGCCTTGTTGATGCCAGAGGTCAGAGGAGAATGGCCAGACTGGTTCAAGATGATAGAAAGGCAACAGGAAGTCAAATAACCACTGGTTCCAACCAAGGTCTGCAGAAGACCATTGCTGCGGTCTAAAAGTCCCTCCTATCGTTTTTTCCTAACCACTTTTCCTTGACCTCGATGGAAAACGTCATGTGGTCAAGGGAAGATGTGAAGGAGAATTCATAAGGACTTAGGGAAAGACAACTGCGATGCTGAGAGAATCCAACTGCACCGACGCTGGGCTACGTAATGATGCGACGGCGGATGTTATTCTGCTGTGGTGATACTACAGTGTTCTGAAGATGGACTACAAAAAGCGCATCTTAGATAATGCGCCCTCTCATCGTGTTGTTTCATGCAGGATATACAAACGTGGACAACACGGTGAAAGATATTATTTAATTACTAAGGTCGGAATTTAATTAAAAAGGGAATATAGGCTAACAGCCACAAACTGAAACAAAAATGATTTAAAAGAGGGCACTGAGTTTGCTAACCTACGTAGTAAAATGAATTCATGATATTACTAAAGGCTGGCAATACAACAACGCTCAAATGAATAAATGACTGATTCACACTGAGCATATGTTACGAGTGCGTGTCCCCTCCGCCCACACCTGTGTTCAGCTTGTTTGTTTTATAACAGGATAAGCAAATATTAAATGCGTTATTTTGTATTTCCATGTGAATAAAAAATAATGGAAATCCATATTTATTTCTTCTTCAAATGGGCAATTGAAATAGAAATTAGACCCTAACAAATAACCAACTTGTTTTTGGCCTTTATTGTTATATCAATATTATGTGCCCCTACTGCATAGATATAGATAAATAATAATATTAATAATAAAAGTGAAAAATAATAAAAGTGACGCTGCTGCGCCTCGTGCGTAAATGCGCACAGCGTCTATATGGAGAAAGCGCTTATTGTTTCTGCTGTGGGGTGAGGTGCTCGCTGCAAGTATTTAAGAACCTCAGCAGATATCTTTTAACGTTACTTTTTGTAATGAACCTTCCACTGTAGCTCTACAGGGAAACACTGTACAGGGGAATAAAAAGTGGGAAGCTGCGTATTTACGCACGAGGCACAGCACCGTACTTCATTGATTATCTAATATTTTCAATTCAATTTTATTTATATAGCGCCAAATCACAACAAAAGTCATCTCAGGGCACTTTACACATAGAGCAGGTCTAGATAATATTCTTGAACCTGTCTATCTATCCATCCCATCCCATCGCCGCTGCCAATGTTTAGAGACGCAGTAGGGGCAGATAATATAGATATAACAATAAAGGCGAAAAACAAGTAGGTTTCTGGTTTTGGTTTAATTTCTATTTCAATTAGCCATTTGAAGACGAAAACGGGAAAAGCACGTGGATTTCCGTTTTTTCTCATTCACACGAAAGTCGGAAAATTAAAATAATGCATTGTATATTTGTTTATCCTGCTATAAAACAAGTTAAACAAAGCTGTGGACGGAGGGTACACCAACAGTAGCGAAATCTTCATAGTTCATGTCTAAGTTTAACATAATATTTAAAGTTGAAAACATAGCATATGAACAAGTTATGGCATGAGATGTATAATGCTTCATAAACAAAGGTAACTTACATGGTGATCTGCTTCCTTTCTCAGTCATGTTGAGCTTTTTCTTTCCTAATCATGAGTTTGTCAATGGTGCGTCGCTTGGTCGCTTTAAATATTGCCGCTGCAAGGACTTGAGACAGAATTATCTCCTTTCCTTTGGTAAACGATGGTCCATACCTGTATGGTCGACGATGGTCGTACCTGATGCTAAAGGAGATTACAAAGGAAGCACTGAAGCACCTCTCCTTAAAATTTAGAGAATTCGACCAGCTCTTATCATGGCTGCCACTTAGATACTTCCGGGTAGTTTTCATGACAGCAAAGCTACAAACACATCTTACAGAATACGATGCATTGCTGTAGATGAAACTAGCCAACAGTATGTAAGGTAGTTAAAATGAGCACATCCTACAGCAAGAAAATGCAACATACATATTAATGCAGCAGTAATTTTAACCCACAAACATCAGAATAGGAAACACTGACAGCATGGAGCAGTTTACTGTGCAATCAATACTCTTTAATGCTGGACTTTCACTTGTCGCTTTTTCCACCACAGTACAAAAACAGACATGACAGCCACAGTCCTTTTTCCAGAGTTGAGTTAGTGACCTCTACTGGTAAAACATGTCAACAAATCAGGTGTTACCGAGGGAAGAATCAGATACTGAATGAGCAGACGTACAAAGTCAGCTTTCATGTTGCTTTATTTACACCATCCACATCATTTTATCCAGATTGTGAGTGTGGTCCTTAAGGACAGTTTGGAACGTACAAATTATTACACAAGGAATGTGGTTGAGTAAGTATAAACCCAACAGAGCTTTGTTGCACTTTTATAGTTGACCACAGTCGGCAATGACAACATCTTGTTTAGTTTTGCCACTGTTTCCAGTGCCTTGCTTCTCCATTTTGTCAATAACATCTTCGCCTGCCACAACTCTGCCGAACACCACGTGCTTCCCATCCAGCCTGATGAGGAGAGACAAACATCTGAAATGAGCTGAAACTGTTGATTGGACCTGAATGCAGCAGCCCACAGGTCAAAGAACTCACCACTCAGTGTCAGCTGTGCAGATGAAGAACTGGGACCCATTGGTGTTGGGCCCGGCGTTCGCCATGGACAGCGTGCCCTTCCCTCCGTGCTTCAACATGAAGTTCTCATCAGCAAACTTCTCCCCATAGATGGATTTGCCTCCAGTTCCATTGCCCCTGGTGAAGTCCCCGCCCTTAAAAAAAAAAAAAAAAAGACTCAGCATAGGTGGCAACAGGAATCGAAAATGCAACAGCTCTGCCGACATCTGAACTTGTAAAAACTTTGCCTTCGCTGTACCTGGCACATGAAACCAGGGATGATTCGGTGAAACTTGGACTTCTTGTAGCCAAATCCTTTCTCTCCGGTGCACAGAGCTCGGAAATTTTCTGTAAAATAAGACACGGCACTTCACTAAATAAAAAATAAATAAAAAAAGTCATTACAAGTAGAAAGCGCCATTTATTGATTTAGAGCAGGGGTCTCAAACCACCTGAGGTCACCAGCCAGGCTGCATGGAGTAATGCTGCCGATATGAGACAGTGAGCACCAGACATGTAACGGCACCCTCCCCCCTCCTACATACCAGTAACGTCTTTTGTGGTCGTTTTGTATCTTTGCCAATTTGGAGCACAATTGTTTGCATCTTTTTGAAGTTGTTCCGAGTCCTGTTGTGATGGTTTTGTCTCTGGTTGTTCCTGCAGTTGTCATTTTGAATCCATTTCTGCATCCCTTTGCAGTCATTTTGTGTGTCTCACAAAGAGACAGTCCCAATTTCCCCCAGGGATCGATAGAAAACTTGTGATTCTTAAGTCATTTTGAGTCTTTGTAGACTGAGGTTTTGTGGTCGTTTGAATATCTTAGAAGTTGTTTTAAGTAAATTTCTAGTCCTTTCAAGTCATTGTCTGATTGATTGCATTGCTTTGAAAGTTTTAAAACCTGTGTAGTCCTTTGTAGTTGTTTTGCATCTCTTTGACTCCATTTTGAGTCCCTTTCTAGTCCTTCCATGTCTTTGTGGGGTTTTATGCATCTTTTTGAATCTTAGAAGTTGTTTTGTGTCACTTTCTAGTCTTATAGTCATTTTGTGTTGAATCAGTCTGAAGTTACCAATTTACCAAGTAATTTTGAGTCTCTTTGCAGTTTGTGGTTGTTTTGAGTCCTTTTCTAGTCCTGTGTTTCTTTGTAGCCGTTCTTAACCTTTGTGAGGTTTTATGTGCCTATTTGTGGCAATTCGACTCTCTTAGGCGTTAGAGTCTTTTTCTAGTCCTTTGTAGTCACTTTGCAGTCTTTGTGTTTCTGTGTGGTTGTTTTGAATCAGTATGAAGTTCCCAATTTCCCCACCAGAGATCAGTAGAGTATTTGATTCTGAAGTTGTTTTGAGCGTCTCTCTGATCATTCGTGTCTCTTTGTGGTCATTTTGAGTCCCTTTCTAGTTCTTTGTAGTTTTTTTTTTTTAGTCCTTTGTGTCTTTGTTTTGAGTCCATGTCTAGTCCTTCTGTGTCCATTTTGAGTCTCTGGTTTTATTTGTCTTCTGTGGTTGTTTGAATCTCTTAGAAGTTGTTTTAAGTCTCTTTCTGGTCATGTTGAATCAGTCCAAAGTCCCCAATTTCCCCGCCTTGGATCAAAAAAGCATTTCTGTTGTCTTTCTGATCATTTGAGTCTCTTTGGGGTTGTTTGTATCCCTTTCTAGTCCTTTGTGTCTCCCTGTGGTTGTTTTGTATCTCTGAAGGTCCCACTTTCCTCCAGGGATCAATAAAGCATTTCTGATTTTAAAGTCGTTTGGGGTCTCTGGTTTGTTTTGCATCTCTTTAAAGTTTTGAGTCCCGTCCTAGTCCTTTTGTGTCGCTTTGTAGTCACTATGAATCTTTGTGGGTTTTTATGTGTTTTTTTGTGGTCGATTAAATGTTAAAAGTTGTTTTGAGCCTCTTTCTGGTCCAGTTTGAAGTTGCCAATTTCCCCACCAGGTATCAGAGTATTTCAGATTCTGAAGTCGTGAGCGTCTTTCTGGTCATTTGTGTCTCTTTGTGGTTGTTTTGTGTCTCTAAAGTTCCCAATTTTCCCCTGGGGCTCAATAAAATCTGATTCTCAAGTCTGTCTTTTTGCATCTCTTTGTAGTTGTCCTGTGTCGTTTAGCACCCGTTTGTGGTCAGGACCCCTATGGCAAGGGGTTTTAACATTTAATAAGTAATTGAATATGTATTGCAGATATCTGTTATTCAATTCTTCCTTGTCAAAATAAACACGACTTCTTGGGACAAATGAAATTACTTTTGCTAGTTTTATTTCAGATATCCAAAATGAAAAAACTACTTTAGGGATTTAAAGATATCGTCAATTGAATTTTGACATGGCGAAATAAAGTTTTAGGTATCTAAAATATAAGTTCTACTAGGAAGGATGAATTGTTAGCATCTATAATAAGCACTCTGAGCAAGAATGCAATTATGGACATCTAGAATGTAAAGTGTGGTGCGACTAAATGTTAAAATGGCTTGCCTGCTAGTAACAGCATGATGTCTGAGCCACTACAAATGAGGGAAAATAGCTAAAGTGGCAATGTGAGACACAGTCAGTCAGTAATGCATCAAGTAGGCTTTCTAGTTGCCTTCAGGCTGTGTGACGGCGACTATGTGGAAATGTCTTGCACGTTTCAAGCAAACAAGAGCTCTTCTTCCCCTTTCACACTACTGCTACTTCCTCCTTCTCATTAATCATGGCAGCGGTGGCACTCTTTGTCTCACTGTTAACACCCACATTTGGCTTTGAAACTGGTTTCTCAGGCTCTCCCTTCCCGCCTCAACCACAGCCTCGCCCCATGTTCACAGTCACTTCTGAGGTGAGGACCCACAGCCAATCATAAATCCCTCTCAGGTGTGTGGAAAAAGCCAGAACAGCAGCAGCTCTGTACTTCCTGCTGCGTGCAGTACAACTTAAAGCTTACCTGTAGTCTTTGGGACCACATCAGCCCGAAGCTGCAAAACACAACACATTGGCCTTTTGCACATCATGCGTGGATTTAAAATACAGCCTAACCTCCGATTTTAAAGCGTCATTAAATGAATACAGTTGAAATAAATTAAGAAAAGTTTGTTTGTCTTACCTCCATTTCAATCCTGCCGGCTGCTTGTCCACCGATAGTGATGTCAAAGTAAACCCTGGGGTTTGCCATGTTTCAATGCGCGTGTGGTGTGGTTGCAGTGTGAAAACGCACTTGAATGAACAACGCCTCACACACACTTCATCGACGTCTTTCTGTGCATGTACTCACGTGGGTCTGTGCACAGGTGAAGGAATGGCTCCTAACAGCCAATCACAGCCAATGTTTGTTTTTAAAGGCACAAGAATGGGCCAATAGGAGTGCAGGTGGGCGGGGTTGACTGTGAGGAGCAGTTGGTTGGCTGCTCCAGAGGAGGAGCCAGAAGCAGACAGACAGGTTTGAGGAAATGAGCAGATTGGAAACGGTCGTGTGCAAACGTGTCTGAGGTTCAAAGGCGTGTTAGTGGAGGAAGAAAACTGAAGTAGCCTTGTGAACATGACTCACGTTGAGATGTGTCCCAAAGTGTAAAGAAATGTGCTTTAACCAACAACTATAAAACCCTTCTTTCATTTAAAGTCCATTAAAGATGCTTCACTTGCCTCCAGCTACTTATACAGAATATATGTTAAAGCCTGTTGCATGAACTCTCACCAAGCAGTGCTGTGCACAGACATTTTGTGGTTCAGATGCTCAAGTGAAACAAAGGGCACTCCTCTTGCTTGGCACGCCTGCAAAAATGGAGGAAAAGTGTAAGGTGGTTTTTATGTGCCTCCCGGCACTGAACGGGCTCTTTGGGCCTCAGTACATACAGTACATTTCTGCACAGGGGCAATGTCTCGACGTATACGGTCTGCATGTACCAGCTGCTACACATACACACTCACTTTCTACATTTATCACTGATTTATAACAGGCAACATTAAATAAACAAAATAATATTGTTGGTCGTTTGTCTCTGTGTGGATGTTTTGGGACTTTTGTGGTTATTTGGGTCTCTTATAGGTAATTTTGTGTCTTATTGGGGTACTTTTGTGTCTCCTTTAGTTCATGTTTTGCCTTTTTGTAGTCATTTTGTGTGTCTTTTAGGTCATTTTCTGTCCTTTTTGGGGCAGTTTGTGTGTCTTTTAACCCTTTTTTATCTGTTCGGGGCATTTTGTAGTAGTTTGTGTCTTTTTTAGGTCATTTTCTGTCTTTTTTTAGGCATTTTAAGTCATTATTTTGTGTTTTTTGGTCATGTTGTAGTCATTTAGTGTGTCTTTAAGGTCATTCTCTGTTTGTTTTAGGCATTTTGTAGTCAGTTTATGTTTTTCTAGGTCATTTTGTGTCTCTTTAAGATCATTATTTTGTGTTTTTTTATTTTTTGTTGTCATTTTTGTGTCTTTCGGGTCATTGTCTCTCTTGTTTGGTCATATTGTAGTCATTTTGTGTGTCTTAAAGGTTATTGTCTGTCTTTATGGGGGACATTTTGTAGTCATTGTGTGTCTCTTTGAGTTCATTTTTTGTCTTTTTTTGTGTTATTTTGTAGTCATTTTGAGTCTCTCCCTAGTTGGTACATGTCAATTTGAGTGAAATTTTGCAGGTGATGACAAGAGGGGCCCCTCGACACTTTGGGCCCCTGGGCCTTTACCAGGCTCTTGAGGCCTGACTACATACAGTTAATTCTGCACAGTAATGAGCAGGGGGATGTCTAGCTAACTTACATATGATATGTCTCAATGTATGCGTGTACCAGCTGCTACACATTCACTTTCTACATCTAACATTGACTTGTAACAGGCAGCAACAAAGGAAACAATGCAACATGGTCTTCTTTGGTCATTTTGTGTCCATGTGGATGTTTTGTGACTTTTGTAGTTGTTTGGGTATCTTCTGAATATATTTGTGTCTTACTGCAATAACTTTGTGTCTCTTTAAGGTAATTTTGCATCTCTTTGTGGTCTTTTTGTGTCTTTCCCAAGACAAGGGGGTGGGGGCCCTTGACACTTTGGGCTTTTATCTAGCTTCAATATGATGTGTCTCCATGTATACTGTATGCACCAGCTGCTACACATACACATTCACTTTCTACATTTGTAATTGAGTTAAAACAGGCAGCAACAAAGAAAACAATGCAATATTGCCTTCTCTTGGTCATTTTGTGTCTCTGTGGATGTTTTGCATCTCTTTGTGGTCACTTTGAGTCTCTCCCTGGTCACTACATGTCAATTTGAGTGACATTTTGCAGGTGAAGACCAAGGGGGGGCCCTCAGCACTCTAGGCCCCTGGGCCTTTGCCCTCTGGGCCCATTCAGTAATCCATCCGTGTGTATCAGCAGATGTAAATTTATTTAAAAAAATAAAAAATTAAAAAAAAAAAGCAACATTTAACCTGTTTCAAAAGTATTGAATTCTCCTGGGGAAATCCCGAATCAGGTGAACTACCAGTGTTTCCAGTTATCTAACTTTTGCATGAAGATTAAATCACCTGAACAAACACTGAAACAACAAATATACAAAGATATGACAAACATGACATCACTGATTTAACACCTGTAGTGACCTCTAGTGGTAAAATGTGTCAACTGCAATAATCATTTTTAAAAAGAAGGTCATTTACTTCTTTTCTTTCCACTGACATTATTCAGATTCAAATTGACAGAAACACCAACATAAAAAATGTAAGAACAAAGCAGGTATTTCTGAATGAGGGGACGCACACAAAGTAAACTTTCACGTTGTTTTATTTACACCATCAGCATCATTTTATTCAGATTTTGTTAACAAATAAGGGTACAAAGAGGATACAAAATATTACACAACCATTATCAGCACAGGAGACAAACATTTTTAGAGGAGAAAGTTGGTTAACTGGGTGTTTTTCTACTGATGCTGCAGATAGACACCATTTTTAAAGATATACTAGGATGTAGATGATAGAGGACACATCTGAGGAAAACCGGCTGAACTGACGGAGCTCTGTCGCACTATTTCAGTTCCCCACAGTCGGCAATGACAACCTTGGCTTTAGGGGTGCCGCTCTTTGTGCCTTGCTTCTCCATTGCCTTGACAACATCAATGCCCTCCACAACATTGCCAAATACCACGTGCTTCCCGTTCAGCCTGGAGAGGAGAAAGGCCGATTAGTATGTGAGACCAACACCTGAAACTGTTGATTGGACCTGAATGCGGCAGCACATGGGTCACAGCGGAGCTCACCAGTCAGTATTAGAAGTGCATATGAAGAACTGGGACCCGTTGGTGTTGGCCCCAGCGTTAGCCATGGACAGAGTGCCCATGCCTGTGTGCTTCAGCTGGAAGTTCTCATCAGCAAACTTCTCCCCATAGATGGATTTGCCTCCAGTTCCATCGTGGTTGGTAAAGTCTCCGCCCTGAAATAAGAAAAGCTTACTCAGTATATGTTTCAACAGCAATGAAACATCTGTTCAGGCTAGACCTGACGTTGTGTAAACAAGGACACGGGTTTCTGCCTTCACCGTACCTGGCACATGAACTTAGGGATGACTCGGTGAAATGTGGAGCCCTTGTAGCCAAAGCCTTTCTCTCCGGTGCACAGAGCTCGGAAGTTTTCTGAAAAATAAAGACATGTCACTTTATTTAATCTTTATAAACCAGCTAATATAAGACAATAAGTTCATTTCACCAGTAATAAGCACTAACACTGGCCAGTCTGTTGAATATGTGGTTGTTAGTCTTTATGAGGCAGTTTTGAGTCATTTTGTAGTTGTTTTTTGTCTTTGGGGTTGTTTTGCATCTCTTTGTAGTCATCTTGAGTCTCTTTGTAGTCCTTTGCTTCAGCTTGTGGTCCCTTCACGTCTGCTCGTAGTTGTTTGTTTCTCTTTAAGATTTTGCGAGTCTTTGGGTTGTTTTGTGTCTCTTTGTAGTTGTTTAGAGTCTTACTGAGGTTGTTTTGTGTCTCTTTGTAGTTGTTTAGAGTCTCTTTTTGGTCATTGAGTCTCCTTTAAGCCGCCTTGTGTCTCTCTGTAATAATTTACATCTCTTTATAGTTGTTTTGCATGTCTTAGTTGTTGTTTGCTGCTCTTTGTGTCCACTCGGTCCACTTCGTCCACTCCGCTGTTATATGGGGTGCCCCAGGGCTCAATCCTTGGTCCCATTCTTTTCTCACTGTATATGCTTCCCTTGGGCCAGGTAATCAGTCAGTTTTCAGTAAAGCCAGATGATCTTAGCAACCTAAACACTCTCCACAACTTATTAGCTGCGATAAAGGACTGGATGTCTGTCAACTTTCTTCAGCTAAATTCTGACAAAACTGAGATTTTCATTTTTGCATCTCTTTGTGGTTGTTTTGTGTCTTTGCAGTAGTTTTGACTCTTTGAGGTCATTTTGCTTCTCTGTTGTTTTTTTAAGTCTCTTTGTGGTCATTGAGTCCTTTTTTGCATCTCTCAATAGTTGTGTGCTTATCTTTGTGGTTGTTTTGACCTTTGAGGTCATTTTGCATCTCTTTGTGGCTGTTTTGTGTCTTATTGCGGCCTTTTGGTGTCTCATTGTGGTTATGTGCATCATTTGTAGTCATTTTGCATCTCTTTGTAACTGTTTGTGTCAATTTGAGGTTGTTTTGCAACTATTTGCGTTAGTTATGACTCTTTGAGGTCGTTTTGCATCTCTTTGTAGATGTTTTGAGTCTTACTGAGCTTGTGTGTCTCTGTAGTCATTTGCACCGCTTTATAGTTGTTTTGCATGTCTTAATAATTGTTTGCTTCTCTTTGTGGTCTTTTTGTGTCTTTGTGGTAGTTTTGACTCTTTTAAGTCATTTTGCATCTCTTCGTGGTTATTTTGTGTCTTACTGAATTTTTTTCTTCTCTTTGTAGTCATTTTCCATCTTGTAATTATTTGCCTCTCTTTCTGGTTGCTTTGTGTCTTTGTGGTAGTCTTGACTAGTCCTTGAGGTCATTTTGTGGCTCTTTGTAGTTGTTTTGAGTCTTTTTGAGGTCATTTTGCATCTCTCTGTATGTTGTTTAGAATCTTGTTGTGGTCATTTGCATCTCTTTGTGGTTGTTTTGCTTCTCTTTGTAGTTGTTTTGTGTCTCTTAGTAGTTGTTTACTTCTCTTTGTGGTCTCTTTTGTGTCTTTGTGGTAGTATTAACTCTTTGAGGTAATTTTGCATCTCTTTGTAGTTGTTTAGAATTGAATTGTGGTTGTTTTGTGTCTCTTAGTAGTCTTTCACTTCTGATTTTGGTTCTCTTTGTGGTTATTTTGCATTTCTGCAGTAGTTTTAACTTTTTTGGGTGCCTTTTTATGCCTCTTCGTTGCTGTGCATCTCTTTGTGGTTGTTTGCGCCTCTTTGTGGTCAATTTGTGCCTCAGGTGAAGCCAAACTCTCAGGTGCTGCTGTTGGTTGAACAACTGCTGCTGAACTTTAGTATATAGTTCACACTGGAAGTAATGAGAGTTGGGTTGCAACTAAAGATTCTGTCCACCATTTTCTCAATTAATCAAATACTTGTTGTGTAAATAAATTATCAGAGAACGGTGAAAAATGCCTTCTGTAATGTCCCAGAGCTCAAGGTCTCGTCTTTAAGTGGTATATTTTATCTAACCAACGTTTATTATTGTGTATGACAAAGCAGAAGAAGCATGAAACCAGCAGATGTTTGAGGTTTCTGATTAAAAAAAAAAAAAACTAAAATGATTGTTCCACACTGACAGTCTACCACTGCAGCACACACTGCACAAAATATGGCCCCCCTCTGGGCCCTCTGGGCCTGTGCCCAGCAGACCTGTTCAGTAATCCGTCCATGGCTGCTCAGATTGTATTCCTTGAGAACGACAGGTTTCTCCTTGCAAATTAGAAAAGGAAGCAGTCACAGAAACTGTCTGTGTGTCCTCAGGAGACATTTTAGTGTGAGGTAAACTGCAGTAAATCACAGCTCTGTTGCTCAGAGGGTTTACATTTATGATAAGTTGTAAAGTTAAATGTGTAAAAAAGTCTGATGTTTGCAGACTTGCTAGAAAATGTGCTGATGTCTAATATAAAAGACTTCAAAATGGAAAAAATAAAGTAATTTGCAGGACAAATTTAACAATATAATCTAAAAATTGTCTCATGGATTGGATGTGGTGAAGTATGTGAGCCACTAGAGAAGCTACTGTTTGCACAAAGGAACCATACAGGCCATTCTGAGTCTAATGAGGTCATACGACTAATAATGGCTAAGTGGGACAAAAGTCAGTCGCAGTCAGTCACTGATGCATCGTGCAGGTTTTCTTGTCGGGAGCTGCAGTTTTCCTTTTTCTTCATCATCATCACAGCAGTGGTGGCGCTCAGCAGCACATCACTGTCTACACGTACAGTTAGCTTTGCAAATGGCTGCTCAGGCTCCTCTGATCAATGCCTTCACACTGAGTCACCCGCAGCCTCGACCCATATTCAGAGTACATTCTCAGCTGAAGACTAATGGGGACGCATAGTTTCCTCAACCAAACATGAATCCATATAGGGTGTGTGGAAAAAAACAGTGTGTGGAGCAGCAGCAGCTCTGTGGTTACTGCTGCATGCAGGGAACTTACAAAGCTGTCTCTTTATTGTTAAAGCGTACCTACCTGCAGTCTTTGGGACCACATCTGCCCGCAGCTGCAAAACACAACACGTGTCAGTTAGTAAGAGACAAACAGCAGAAGCAGGTGAGATAGTAAAACTTTGGAAGAAGATTAAAAAATCAGGAACCTTAAATCCAAAGTCAGCACCATCCATTATAACTTTTAAAGACACTGAGACAATTTCACACGCCCTCATCTCATCACACCTCGAGCACTGCAGCAGCCTCTGTTCTCAAAATCTATTTCCTGACTACAGATGGTGCAGAATTCAGCTGCCAGGCTTTAACCAGAACCAAGAGACGCCATTACATCACTCCAGTTTCAGCCTCTTTGGTGGAGTAGTGTTAGTAGATTAGGTGGGCGTACTACTAGGTACACTGAGAGGCTACTGAGGAGGAAGTGTGTCCCAGTATGTCTTGGAATTGAATTTAAGATTTTACTGATTACTTTTACGACTACTTTGAGATCCTCTGGAAGGTCTTTTGTCTGTTCCAGAGGCCCGGCTAAAAACTAAAGGGGGACCGAGCGTTTGCAGTCAGGGCCCCGAGGCTCTGGAACGAACTGCCTGAGGAAATTGTTCCCTGCGTCCCCCCCAAAATCTTCACCCATAGTCTAGGACATATTAAGACAAGATGCAACTATATTTTTTATCTTCGATTACTGTCACAATAATTTTTTTCATTGTCCATTATAGCCCAATATCATTATTTAAACGCCCTGTTCTGTCCATCTAACAGTCCATTTCTCAAATGTATTAAGTTTATAGTATATAGCTTATATATCCCCAAACATGGGCATTTTTAGCGACCCATTGCTGCTTTTCCTGCATCTTTTTAGTCCAAAAACACTGGTGTTTTTTGCATCCCAACCCTGCTTTTCTTGCAGCTCTTTAGTCCCCAAAAGTGGCGTTTATTTAGGGACATGTCACTGTTTTTCCTGCCGCTTTAACCCCCATATTGTGGGTGTTTTAAGCAACCTGTCACTGTGTTTCCAGCAGCTTTTTAGTCCCCAAACACTGGTGTTTTTAGCACCCCAACACTGCTTTTCTTGCAGCTTTTTAGACCCCAAATGTAGGTGTGTTTTTCAGCAACCTGTCACTATTTCCTGCAGCTTCAACCCCCCCGAAATGTGGGTGTTTTAATCAACCCATCATTGCTTTTCCTGCAGCTTTTTAGTCCCCGAACGTGGTGTTTATTTAGGTGCCCATCACTGTTTTTCCTGCCACTTCTTATAATCCAAATGCAGGTGTGTTTTAGCAACCTGCCAGTATTTCCTGCAGCTTTAACCCACAAATATGGGTGTTTTGAGCAACCCGTCACTGTTTTTCCTGCAGCTTTTTGGTCTCCAAACGTGGGTTTTTCTTTGCAACCCGTCATTGTGTTTCCAGCGTATTTTTAGTCCCCAAACGTTGGTGTTTTTAAAGACTCTTCTGTTGTTCTTGCAGCTTTGTCGTCCCCAAAACGCTGGTGTTTTTGGCATCCCAACACTGCTTTTTTTGCAACTTTTTAGCCCCAAAACGTGGCGTTTATTTAGTGACTTGTCACTGTTTCCTGCAGCTTTAACCCCCAAATGTGGGTGTTTTAAGCAACCTGTCCCTGTGTTTCCAGCATCTTTGTAGCCCCCAAAACATCAGTGTTTTTTAGCGACCCATCACTGTCCTCTACTACTTTCACATTTTTATTGGGGGTGACAAATGCACATGTTGTAAATATTGAGGGGGCTGTGTCCCCTACACACAAGGTGGAGGATATATTGGTGTTTTTAGAGACCTGTTGCTGTTTTTCCTGCAGCTTTTTGGACTCCAAACGTGGGTTTTTCTTTGCAACCCGTCACTGTGTTTCCAGCGTATTTTTAGTCCCCAAATGTTGGTGTTTTTAAAGATTCTTCTGTTTTTCTTGCAGCTTTGTTGTTCCCAAAATGCTGGTGTTTTTGTCATCCCAACACTGCTTTTTTTGCAGCTTTTTAGCCCCAAAATGTGGCGTTTATTTAGCGACTTGTCACTGTTTTTCCTGCTGCTTCTTAGGCCCCACATATGGGCGTTTTTGTTTTTTTTAGCAACCTTTCCCTATTTCCTGCAGCTTTAACCCACAAATGTGGGTATTCAACATGTCACTGTGTTTCCAGCTGATTTTAGTCCCCAAATGTGGGTGTTTTTGGAGACCAGTCTCTGTTTTTCATGCGGCTTTGTAGTCCCCAAACAGAGTTTTTAGGCATGCCAACACTGTTTTTCTTGCTGCTTTTTGGTCCCCAAACATAGCATTTATTTAGGGACCCATCACTGTTTTTCCTGTTGCTTTTTACTTCCCATTGTGGGTGTTTTTAGGGACCTGTCACTGTTTTTCCTGCAGCATTTTAGTCTCCAAGTGTTCATTTTTAGCATTCCAACACTGCTTTTCTTGCAGCTTTTTCGTCCCCAAATGTGGGTGTTTTAAGCAATCTGTCACTGTTTTTCCAGCAACTTTTGAGCACCCAGATTTGGGTGTTTTTTGGTGACCCATCACTGTCCTCTACTGCTATCATGTTTTTATTGGGGGGCGACAAATGCACATGCTCTAAATATCAAGGAGGGCGTGTCCCCTGTGTGCATCTGTCCGTCCCCTCCAGGACATATTGTGCTTGGGGCTGCAACTTTATTTTTATCATCAGTTACTGTCACAGTAATTTTCTTCATTGTCCATTATAGTTTTCCAAGGCCCAGTGTCATTATTTAAACGCCCTGTTCTGTCCAAACAACTATCAATAACTCAAATATATTAAGCTTATCACATAATTCAAATATATGATAAGGAAAGGCAATGCATGCGTTTGAGAAGCTGAAATCTGAGAGTTTTGGGCATTTTTATTTGTATCATTATCAAATAGTTTCTTAATCGCTAATTATGTTCACATTAGCAGACACATCAGATCAGCTGCATCTCCAGTGATTTACAGCCTGACATACCCATTATAACCACCAGCTACTGCTGCTGCTGCTGCTGCTGCTGCAGGGCGTTTCCAGCAGGATATCATCTCTCTGGGAGATTTGTTTTTAATTTAATTTTCGTTATCTGCACTTGTGCAATTAATCATATCACCACCACACGAGGATATAGGACTAATTATATAGGCTAAATATATATATATATATATATATATATATACATGCAAAAGGCTATCAAAATGGAGCCTAACAGCTGCATGGGAACTTGACGCACTGCAAAATGTCTGTCAGAGCTGCTGGCCTTATGGAAATCATACAGAGGGGTGTTAAAGATATTCCAGCTGCAGATTTTACACCTACATGACCTTTAAATAAGATAAAGTGACATAATGTGAAGTGTGTTTTTCTTACCTCCATCACAATCCTGCCGGCGTTAGCTCCATCAATAGTGATGTCAAAGAAAACTCTGGGGTTCCCCATGTTGATAAACGCGCGTGTGATGTGGATCTGATGGAGATCTGCTCCTGAGTGGGTCCTGACAGCGGCTCAGATGCTCTGTGTCTATTTAGGTCTTTATTAATGTGGGTCTGTGCCCCGCTGATGTAAAGGCAGCCGGCAGCCAATCACAGACACGCTCTTCTGAGAGGCTTCACAGTGGACCAATAGGAGCAGAGAGGGGCGGGGTTAATGGTGCAGCGCAGGGAGTTGGTGCGATGTCTCCACGGCAACCCGGCCGGGCGGAGCAGAGCTCACAGAGGGGCTTCTGTGGGGATGAACAGGGAAATGAAAGCACTCGTGCTCAAAGGTGTTTAAATCCAACTCACCCTGAATAAGAAGTGACGTTTAATGATCTGAGCTCATTTATTTCATCTGGAAACATCTGTCAAACCAAAACAGTCAGATGTGCTTTAAAAAGGAGGCAGACTGAGTACATTTACTCAGTTACTTATGTAGTGGAAGAAGTGTTCAGATACTTTACTGAATAAAATATCACAATGTAAAACTTCACAACAAGTGTAGGTCCTGCTTTCTAAATCAGTGAAAGTTCACAAGTTTATCAGGTAAATATACTTTAAGTACAAGAAGTAACAGTACTCACTGTGACATCCTCAGTGCAGGGCCAGCAAACCATAAACCAGTTGTCTTTCAGTGACTCATTGCTACACTTCCTGTGGCTTTTTAATCCCCAAACGTGGCTGTTTTTAGCGACCAATTAGTGCAGCGTTATAGTCCCCAAACGTGGGTGTTTAAATGGACCAATCAATGTTTTTCCTGCGGCTTTTTAGTCCCCAAACGTGTATGTTTTTAGGAACCCATCAGTGTTTTTCCTGCAGCTTTTAAGTCCCCAAACACTGTTGTTTTTAGCATCCCAACACTGCTTTTCAGTCCCCAGACATGGGTGTTTTTAGGGGCCCATCACTGTTTTTCCCGTGTCTTTTTCGAACCCACACAGGTGTTTTTTAGTGACCCATCAGTGCAGCATTCTAGTCCCCAAATGTGAGTGTTTTTTAGTGACCCTTAGTTGTTAAGCTAGCCGCCTCTTAGACCCAAAATGTGGTTGTTTTTTCCTGCAACTTTAGCCCCAAAATGTGGGTGTTAAGCAACCTGCCACTATTTTTATTGCAGCTTTTTTAGCAACCCATCGCTGTTTTTCCTGCATCTCTTTTGACCCCAAACACAAGTGTTATCTAGCGACCCATCACTGTGTTTTTTGCTGCTTTTTAGCCCCCAAACATGGATGTTTTTAGTGACCCATAGCTGTTTATTGAGCCGCCTTTTAGACCCCAAAATGTGGGTGTTTTTAGTGACCCTTAGCTGTTTATCGAGCCGCCTTTTAGACCCCAAAATGTGGGTGTTTTTTGGTGACCCTTAGCTGTTTATCGAGCCGCCTTTTAGACCCCAAAATGTAGGTGTTTTTAGTGACCCACAGCTGTTTATCGAGCCGCCTCTTAGACCCCAAAATGTGGGTGTTTTTTAGTGACCCATAGTTGTTAAGCTAGCCGCCTCTCAGACCCAAAATGTGGGTGTTTTTTTCTGCAGCTTTAGTCTCTGAACATGGGTGTTTTAAGCAACCTTCCACTGTTCTTAATGCAGCTTTTTCAACCTACATTTTGGCTCTTTTTAGCGACCTGTCATTGTTTTGCCTGCATCTTTTTTGACCCCAAACACAAGTGTTATCTAGCAACCCATCACTGTTTTTTTTGTTGCTTTTTAGCCCCCAAACATGGATGTTTTTTGTGGCTGTTCTTCCTTTTTCTTAGACCTCAAATGTGGGTGTCTTAAGTGATCCATTGCTGTTTTTTTCCTGTGGCTTTTTAGTGAGTGTTCAGCAACCAGTTATCATTTTTCCTGCAACTTTTTGGCCTCCAAATGTGGTTTTTTTTCAGTGACTCGTTGCAATTTTTCCTGTCTTTGTAGCCACCAAATGTGAGTGTTTTTTTTGCCACCTGTCCCTGCTTTTTGGCAGCTTTTTAGTCCCCAAACTTGAGTATTGTTTAGGGATCCAACGCTGTGTTTTCTGCAGCTTTTTTGACACCAGAAGTGGATGTTTTTAGAAGCTGCTGCTGTTTTTCCAGCAATCTTTTAGTCCCCAAACGTGAATGTTTTGTAGCAACCTGTTGGTTTTTTCAGCTGCTTTTCCCCCCCAGACATGGGTGTTTTTTAGCAACCGATTTCTGTTTTTCCTGCAGCTTTTTAAACCCAAACATAGATGTTTTCAGTGAACCCACAGTGTTTCCCAGCACAGATAGTGCCATAAAAAGTGGTTGTTTTTCACAGACATCACAGATTGAAAACATGACCTTTTCCTAACATTAATCAGATGGGTTTTGTGCCTAAATCTAACCATGTTCACAATGTGATCCATTACATAATAATGTGCAAATACAGCCAGACTGCATGATGAAAACATTAACAGTGTCATCCTAAGCTGAGCTGTAACAGGCAGTAGATGCACACATCCTTCTGTGTAGTGATACAGTTGGCAAGTGTAGTTCAGTAGAAAGAAAATAGTTCCTACAAGAAACTGCTCACAAGGTCTGTGGATTATCTTGAGTAACCAGGTCATGATTTCTGGAAAAAGACATTGATGTTGAGTTTTTCAAATGTATTTTTCTGGCGCTTTGAGCACCACAAGCCGAGTGCCATCTAGTTCCATTATACTGCAGAGAAGGCAGACATCTCCAACACTCTGCAACTCACACCAAAACAATCTAGACTGATAGCTAGCTCTACAGGTGAGAGGAAAATATGTGATTTATATTTAAGGGTTAACTGTCCCTTTAAACACATATGAAATGTCTCATGATTAAATACTAAATAAATCCCAGAGCCTCCAAAACAAACTATTTTTGTCAAATAAAGTGATTTTTTATTCTGATTCTGAGATTCAGGAAAGGGACAAGGTAACTGTAGGTACAATGACGATTATGATTAAAAAATAAATAGAAAATAATGGCAATTACAATGTGTTACAAAATATGTGGAATAGTTTACATATTAAAAAACTTTTGTTTCTAGCAAATTTGCAGTTAAATAGTCCATAATTTCCAAATATAACATTATTGTGTTGCTTAACTGGCAAAGAACATTATTTCTTGTTGCCGTGTTGGACCACAAAGGGTAAAATCATCCATAGAAAAAAAACTGTCAGCTTTTACAAAGTGGTATTAAGAATAATTCCTTCCTCTGCGTCTTCAACTGCACGACTCAATGTTAGCTGACTGTTTCCCGTCATACATGCATCAGTATGACCTTTTTACAATTGCTTTATAATTTTCTAACATACGGTATGTATACAGTGCCAACAATGATCCATTATCCAACTAAATAACATTAAAATTACCATGATTAACAATTCATTTGATACACACACGTTCTCTAATGAAAACAGCTGATTATACAGTACATAAACCCGTGTCATGATGGGTTATACATGTCAAACGACTGAAACATACTAATAGCTTTCAAATGGCAGAAAATGCCACGACACACAGCTGTACTCATTTACAGTATGCTTGGAAAAAAAACCCTTATAAAGAGGGTGAAACCAAACAGAGGGAAAGATGGGAGGTTTTATATATTTCACAGTGCTGAAGGATGTCGGAGATATAATGAACCTCAGCGCGCTCCCAACTTCATGTATTAAAAAAATGTCTTTGTACATCTTTATTTTTTCCTCACGTGAGGAGGTCACTCTTTTTTCTTTTACGTCGTCATCACAGAGAAACAAAAACGTGACCACTGCCCTTATCTTACATCATTATTCGTTAAAGGTCAAGTCTAGTGATCTTCTATACTTTTCTTATTGTTTATAAATCCCATGAAAACACCAAAACCAGCAGTGAATGTATCTGCTCACAAGTATTGTGTCAAAGTCTGATATATAGTCTTTCTCTCTGCCATGGAGCTTAGTTTATTTTGACCGTCCTGCTGCCACAAACACTTACTGCTGTACAGAGAGTTTTATTTTGTTCTGAAAATGTGGGTGTGCAGCCTCATTCTGTGGACGATAAACAACGTGCAGACTGATAAAGGAGGAAATACAGTGAGTGCTGGACGGAGCAGTGAGTGACAACAACCCCGCCCACATTTAAGGGTAGTGTTTGCAGTGGAAACACTAGGGTCTAGGTACCATGTCTGAAGGGTTACTGTTGGTTCCAAAGATACTATACTGAAAGTGTTTGAAGGAAACAGGGCTCATATGTGGATTAATCTGCTGTTGAAAATAGTTTCCCCCCTGTTTTAGGAAAATACTGAGACTTTTAAGATTAAAGCATCCAGTAGGAACCAGTGCACTTGGAGCTGAGACAGACAGGAAGTCAGACAGTATTGAGAGACGGACTACAACATTGGTGGTTTTGGTCTTTTCATGGGAGATGCTGATATCACGAGCCTTAACCTTTAATGCAGTGGTTTGCAAACTGGGATGTTGCATCGGGGCTGGGTTGGGGTTTACAGCGGTTTAAAATACTACAAGAAAGGTTTTTACACCTCAGGAAACTTAAAGGGGAAATTTCGCCACCTTTTTTATGTGGATCTCCAATGAGTGTGCAATAAATTCCTCAGTTTGTGCTGTATTGATAGAGAAAGACAAGTTCTCCTGCTCGCAGAGTCGTACCAGCAGCAGGGTACAGCTAATTGTCATTTTGGCACTTTTGTACAGATGAAACAGGATATAACGTGTTATATCAGGTCAGCAGGTTTTTTCTCTTTAACTTTAGACAGAGCCAGGCTAGCTGTTTGCCCCTAATGCTAAGCTACGCTAAGCGGCTGCTTGAAATGTCAGAGTATTTTAAAGTTTTAGTTCTCATAATTAGCTGTTACAGGTCCTACGCAGTCCTACGCACAATGGCTCAGAGACTGTGTCGTATTAAGTTGCTGTGAGCTGTAAATTCACCACCTCTAAGCAGAAGACACTATCTGGGAGCCGGATGGTGCAGCTTCTCCTCCTCCGGGCAGCTGCCTCGGTGTCTGCAGCTGCCTGTACCGAGAAGCAGCGTGAAAATGAGGAGCGCTCACTCTGCTGCTAAATCTGGGGACCAAAACGTCCACAGCAGTACACTGCACAAAGAAAACTTGAAATCTCAGTGCAGAAGTGTCTCTGACTGATGATTTGAATCTCTGACTTTCAGGAGGCAGCTCCATTGACTACCTAAAATTCCATATTGTATTTTAGTGTGAGGTGGAGACTAGAAATCCACGGCAAGATATCCTGTAGTTCTTCCTTCCCTCCATTTACATTACCATCTAACGAAGGCTCTGAGTGCAGGAAGAACAGATTTTGCACCCACTGAGAAATTTATTGCTTCAATCTAAATATCCACATAAACTTTGTTGAATTTCCCCTTTAACGTAACGATAATCTTTTATTTCAATCGCAAGGTAAACAGCAGAGAAATACTGTGTTTACTTTACAAAGTAATCCAACAGGAATGTGTGTGTGTGTGTGTGTGTGTGTGTGTGTAAAGGGCGCCCCGACAGAAAGAAAGTTTGGAAACCACTGTGTTAACGTGTCCCTTAACACCTCATAAACACACCCCGGCTTTCACCATCCTCCACTCCAACTAATAAAATCTATAACTTAAATACTGTGTATTTAAATTCTTCAGCCTGTGATTTGTGCTATAGTTTTGAAAATGCTGGTCTGCAGAGTCAGTGCCTACAGTTTGTACTGTTAAACTCTTCATGATAGACAGTGTTCCCTCCTCTTCCTGTTTACTGCACTGAGAGTGAATATCAAAGTACAGCAGGACACTTCAAAAAGACAAAGATACACAAACATAAAACACACTCATACACACACACTCACTCTCTCTCACACAGACACACACACACACAGAAGAGGTGGGTGTAGACAGAGACGGTGCCGTCTTCAACCGATGAGGGCAGGCCTACAGCAAACAGAGAAGCTGGAAGATGAACGAACACATGAGGGTGGTCAGTTGTTCTCGAACAGAGACAGCAGGTCGTCGCTGCTGTTGTTGGGGAGGTCAGGGGGGCCCAGGTAGGACAGCAGCTCGTCCGGGTTGGTCAGCTCAGGAAGAAGCTTGACGACAGACAGAGAGAATAAAAAAATAAATCAAACAAAATGCATAGTTCTATGTTGACACTGACCACCATTAAAACATTTCTATTATGAAGTTTGAAGAGGAGCTTAAAGCAACACGATGCCTGTTCATTACAGCTATTTATAGACATTATTTTGCACTTGACACTGAAACAGGAACCTGTTCCTGTAAAAATCTGCACACATTTTGATGCCAGTTTCTTTCACGAATATCAGCTGATTTCTTCTGTTCTTATTTAGCTGTTGCTCAGGGGATCTTTCAGTTGTCAGTGGGGTTGAACTATTGCACAACGTTTTGTTCTCCAATTGTTATTTTAAGTGTTTGAGCACATTTTGGAAAGGATCCCGAGAGAGACGGACTTTTTTGTTAAAAAGTAAGATTCCTTTTTGTTGAAATCGCCATCATCAAACCAACCAGACTAAACATTAATTTTATCATTGTAAAACACACTTGATTCAAAGTCGACGGAAACAAAATGAAACTCACAAAAGCTGTCTTGGTTTGTCTTGCCACTGTTCTTACAATCACCAACTCTGGTTTGGTTGAAATAAACCCTTAATTCACCCTGTTGGATGTGAAAATATGCCGGCTCTATACAGGCTTAAATTGCTTATTATTTGAATGGAGTCTGGTGGGTTTGATGATAAGTGATTTCAGGGCTGTTTCTGGTTAAACAAAAAGGATCTTACTCTTTCCATAATGTTGTCAGACACTTATACTAACAATCTGAGACTTTTGGTGGATGTAAATTGATGATGAACAAATGTCCTGAACAATTACATTGCAGCCTTTTTGGCGGATGCCAGCTGCAGTGCTCTCACTCAATACAGGACCAATGTTGAGGACTGTTGCTCCCATGAGTCACTTAGATACAAAAATGTGGAAAATAAGGTGTAGGCTAAAAAAAAACAACCTTACTCTTTAAGTCCCAAATGTCACTGTTAACAGTTTAATAGATAAATGAAGTGAAACCAAGTCACATTCAAGTCCTATAAAAGTTCCATGCTCTTATGTAACTGCGCACATGATCAGCAGGTTCAACACTCACATCTAGTGCATGGTCGGCCCCCTCTCCTCCTTGTGCTCCAGGGCCTCCCAGACCGAATGAGCCTTCGCTCTGCAGCCGGGAATTATTCTGGGTGTTGACGCTCCGCTGCGGCAGCGGACTGCCGGCGTCACCGAGGCTCTGATTACCATGAACACCTGAACTGTGCTGCTGGAGGACGTTATGGGAGTGTTCGATTCGTCCAGGATGAGGCGTCTGACAGGGACACACCAGGAAGGGACACAAAGAGGGGAATTTTAATTTTATGGTCATAAAAATAAAACATAAAAAGTTTCTACTATGCAACACATTAAATTCACAGTGTCAACTCTATGCCTGAGGTGTAATCCCTCTGGTCTTTTTTCTTAAGAGGCACCAGAAGTGTGTGACAGTAGAAGAGGACGGCCGAGCAGCTGACTGCGACAGGTGGTATGTGGTTTAGAGGCTCTGTGTGTGAACAGATATATAATCTCAGTCTGTGCTGTCTCCTTCAGGTTCAGTTAAAGGCTCTTAACTAAACTCACAAACCAGAAGGACGAGACAGTCAGTGTTGGTGACTAACGCAGCAGCAAACTATTGGTTCCTTTCAACCAAACACTGCAGATTCAGGCGCAAAAATAGTCACAGGAACTGAAAGTAAAAGTGAGTTCCTGTTTGTGTTTCTGCTGCAGCTGAAAAACTATGAAGGCAAATCAGGACGATGACAGATCAGATGACAGTTTCAAGGTGGACACCCAAGATCAGACATTTGTGTGAAATTTCGTCATAATTAGTGTATGAATTTTAGAGTTATGGCCAAAAACATGAGATGGATGAAAAGTCACAGTGACCTTAACCACTGACCACCTAATTCTAATCACTTCAGTCCAAGTGGACGTTTGTGCCAAATGTGAAGAAATTCCCTCAAGATCTTCCTGAGATATCTCATTCACAAGAATGAGACAGACGTGATCACAGTGGCCTTTGACCACTGACCACTAAAATCTAATCAGTCCATCCTTACCTCAAAGTGGATGTTTGTGCCAAATTTTAAGAAATTCTGTCAAAGCATTCTTGAGATATCATATTCACAAGAATGGTACAGACAGAAGGACTACCCAAAATTATAATTAGTCCATCCTTGAGTCCAAGTGGACATTTTTGCCAAATTTTAAGAAATTGCCTGAAGACGAGGGCTTGACGCTAACTTTTTTCCCAAGGAGCACATGTGCTCTTAAGTTGAAAGAGTAAGGAGTGCACAAAGAACTTTAGGGGCACAATGTAAATTGATCAAAAAATGTGTTTTCCGTAATAAACGTGATGCAAATAGACATTTACAAGCAAAATTATTTAATGAATTTGTATACAAAATGTACAGAAAGGTAAAATCATCAAGTTTTGAAAAAGTATTGCAATTTAATTTTGTCTTTAATGTTATTATCTTATATATATATTATCTTTGCAATATGATTATCTTATATAATGTTATTACTATCCTAAAACATTCTCCAGGTCCTCTGAAACTCTGCAGGACTTATTTCCATCATGCCCAGCAGCGGTACCGTGGAGAACGGTCCCTAACTGTGGGGAGAACGGAGCAAGCTTCCCCGGAGGTCCGCCGCTTTACCCGGTCCCTCTTCTCCGCCACACTTTGACTTATTCCCACCCAGCCGACAGCCTGGCCGTGGAGAACGGTCCCTAACTGCGGGGAGAACGGAGCAGGCTTCCCCGGAGGTCCGCTACATAACCCAGTCCATCTCCGCCACACTTTGACTTATTTCCACACTGCCCAGCAGCAGTAGCTTGGAGAACAGTCCCTAACTGCGGGGAGAATGGAGCAGGCTTCCCTGGAGGTCTGGTGCTTTTCCCAGTCCGTCTCCTCTACACTTTGACTTATTTCCACGCTGCCGACAGTGGGACTTATATTCATTGTACCAACAGTGGCTTGGAAAACCACCCATAACCGCGTCACACGGGGAAGAGGGAAGGCGGCTGGAGTTCCTCCAACATTTGCGGTTAGATTATCATATTTTTTTATTGACAAAAATATAGGCTGCTTTGGCTGATTTTTTTATGCGCGCATGTGCCCCTAAATATTTTTTTACAGTTCGCACACACCTATTTTTAGTCGCAAATGCGAGTGAAACGCTCGCACTGTCGAGCGCTGCTGAAGACGTTCTTGAGATATCGCGTTAATAAGAATGGGATGTCCTAGTTCAGACACCTTTATGGCCGATATCTCCAACATTTGGCAACAAGCCCAGTCTCACTCTGAGGTCGCTGGAATCCGGCGCTTGGGCAGTGACTTGCGGTGTCAGAAACCAATGAAAAAAGGCTTCCTTTAACTTCAGCATGATACGCTGCCGGTTGCTGTTACAATTTAATGGTGCCCAGCGGCATCGGGGGAAACACAGTGGGACAAGGATGAAAATTAAGGCGGTAAAGGTCCGACTGGGGCGGGCAGGAGCTGTGGTAGATGGGTCCGACGAACACCAACTTTCACCCAAGAGAGCAGTATTTGCGTCCCATAAGATTCTAAAGCCAAACCCTGTTCTTTTTTCCTAAGCCCAACCATGTGTATCAGTTGTTGGAGGAAAAAAAACATCAATTTGCATTGTCGTATTGACGTAGTGCTTTTATTTTGAAAGAGAGTGTATGTTAACAGTAAATTTCCTGTGAAAACCGAAGTGTATTTTGAAAGAAGACAATGCATGTAACAGGCAGAAGTTGACACAGCTTCCCAGAACGTCAACAACCAACACACCCAGGGTACCTTGCACGTCATATCTGGACGTGGAAAGTCCATGACCCAACATCAATATGTGACGAGGTCAGAGTGAGAATGTGTTGCGGCAACCCACATCAAAACTATGTCACTTGACAAACAGCACTACAGGTAAGAGGGAAAATACAGATTGTTGATTTGGATGTGAACTGTCCCTTTAAGTACGTCACATTCAGGCCTCAGTTCCGTGACAGTTACTGACTCTGGGTCTGTATGTAAAACAAGCTCAGAGCCTTCTGGCTGTTTTCTATTCATACTCTGGTTGTCATTGTTGCCCACTCGACCATTAAAGAAAATGCACTGAGTGAACCAAACAGAAAAGACAGTGATCCTCTGTCAAGAAGACGGACAGAAGCCTGCTCATACATATGTTACGTAAGAGAGAGAGGTGTTTTAAAGGTGTCTAACCTGCTCAGACTGATATGGGATTGGAGGAGGAGGTCCAGAGGGGGCGTACTCTCCCAGTGTCGGGGTGCCAGGAGTGTTGGGGAAGTCTGTGAATCCTGCTTGGCTGGAGAATCCCTGGCTCCCTACGAGACCAACACAAAACAAATGTTACTTCCAAATAAAAACAGGTCAGTGTAGACTTTTGTTTTCTGTTGCATAATAGTGAGCAGAGAAAGTGCTTCCAGCTGTAGGACGTATGCAGGGGGGATGGGGACACTGAGACTGTACTCTGTGGTCTCTGCTCTTGAAATGTTGTTCTGGGTCACTTCCCATCTAAGAGCAGATGCACTGCCATTGTGTACAGTGTGTGTATACAAAGATTACAAACATTACATACAGCACCAGTCAACAGTACAGATCCGTTACTCCACATTTATAAAGATCTTTTACACTTTTAAACCCACAAGAATGTAGTTTAAAGTCCAAAGTATTTCTCTTAATTTATAACACATAAACTATATCTTATAACGATAATTTATATAACAAAATATAGTGTAATTGTGAGCAGAAATAAGGACATCCTAACTGTTTATTAATGTATAGCATTTGTCAGCAAGGTGTTTTAGAGGAGGAGAGAAAATGTTGCTAATAGTTTGGCCCTCTGCTAACTGAAGTTAAAGACTCACCACTGCGGTTTCAAGCTCACTTTTATGTAGCTAACGTTAGCTAATGTCTTGAATCACAGTTTGTCCTCCGCCTCACTCCCCGCCACTAAAGACCACTTCAAAGGGAGAAGAACAGGCAGCAGCTCTAGAGACTGACCCCCAGTCAGCAACCGCAGTAACACAAACACCAGCTTTGGGGGACTGGACAGTCCAGACTCCCTGCTAGATCAGCAAACTTTCTGTTGCTGCTGTTACACAGATTGGATCCTGTGCTGCTGTTGGCCACCAGCCTGATGTGACACCAGTTCCTGGGGGGGTTGTGGTGGTCAAATTTAAGCTGCTACAGCCAGCCATCTCCCAAGCTGCTGCCCGCTCTCCTCCCAGGGAAGCAGTCCACAGTGGTGGGGAGCGAGGCGAAGGGACCGTGGGGTGGCTAGCAGCTAATTCTGTCTCATTTGTGTGGTGAGGAAGGGAAAGTGAGCTCTACGATGGCACGAGAAAAAATAAATCAGTGTATGGCAAACACATCTTGAGAACTAAGGAGTACCTGTACTTTATTTGTCTATTTAAATTTAATGCTACTTTATACTTCTACTCCACTGGAGAGGAAGCACTCCTTAGTTCTCAAGCTGTGGTTGCAAGTTACTTTACAAATTAATTTTGCATACACAGGGCATTTTTCTGCACGGAGTACTTTTACTTTGGATACTTTAAGTAACTTCCTCCTGATTATATCTACTTAAGTAACATTTTCACTGCAGGACTTTCACTTGGAGTCATTTTTACTGTGTGGTAATAGTACTTTTACTCAAGTAAAGGATCTGGATACTTCCTCCACCAGTCTCAGTCTCAGTCTCGCCTCTACCTGGCCTGTTGTAGTCGGGGGTGTTCCTGCCCCCTGCAGTCAGACTGTGGTAGGGGGATGACGCTGGGCCCAGAGCGGCGATCATCTCCATCACATTAGGCAGGACCATGTGACTCGGGCTGACTGTTCGGCAGCGTTTCAGGACCGGACCGTCGGGCTCCTCCTTTATGTGCAGGTCTGGTTTGACGGGCACCGGCCTCCAGCCACACACCGGGTCTATGGTGATCTCCTCGTAGTCAGAACTGAGGGAGGACGACACAGACGGGTTAGTTAGTCACTGGATAAACACACCAATTATTTACATGAACTCCAAATGTAAACACTTACTTCTGGATGTAGACGAGGATCCCGAGCATGTACTGGTCCACCTCCAGACCTTCTAGCAAAGCTGTTTTACTGTGAAGGAGAGTAACAAGTTGAATTTAATGCTGAGAAGATTTGATGCTAAAAGGTGCAGTGACAAACTGATGCAGGACGTACTTGCACACAGGACATCTCCAGGTCCCTCTTTCACAATTAAGCTGCAAATAGGACTCCAGGTCGAAACACTGCAACATGAAAGACATCAATGTGTGAGAGTTAATTTGCATGTGTACGTCCATGTATACATGTAAGAGTGTTTGAGACCCCTACCTGTATGTGTCTGCAGTCGTGACCTCTGGCTGGCAGCTGGATTCGTCTGAATGTGATCGGGCATTTCAGGGAAACTTTGATTGCTGTCTGCTCTACGCCATCCTCTCCGTTCAGACCAGGGGTCCCGGGGATAGTGCCGCTACTGAAATTTCTCTTTACTGAAACAATGAGACAATAAAATGTGAGTACAGTGACTTAACTGCTCTGTGAGAAATGTAGTTCTGTTGCTCAGGACAGCTCAGAGCATCTTCTGAATTCAGACACCTGGAGAGGTGTCCACTGGTTCCCAAACTTTTTAGACGACAGCATTATTTTTCATAATCAATTCATGAAATTAAGTTTGCTTTTGTTTGTGTCTGTCTGTCTGTCTGTCTGTCTGTCTGCGACTAGTCTTTCAAACTGCTGCTTTGTGTGCACATTTATAACTGTATGCTCAAGGATCTCTCGTGGTTGCGGTGATTCGCAGTTGCTGAAAACCTGATTTTTTGCCTGTTTTACTTTGACTGCTGACTCACTCCTCTTTACCGGTAATCAAGTGGCAAAAGCACAGAGCAAATTTCCAGAAATCGTCTCAGCTACTGTTTGTTGCAGAACACATTTGTCCTTTGTCATGGCTTAAAAAAAAGTTTGGTCTCATTTTTGAATTGTCACATCTGCAGATGAAGTCCATACCTGATATGTTATCATCTATTAAAGTTAGGAACAACGCAAGATAAAAAGAAGCTGCAATTAGAGTATTTTGGAGTACTTTTATAGTACTTTTCTATGAAAAATGACTCAGACCGATTAGTCGACTACTAAAATAGTCACTGATTATTTTAACAGTCGATTAGTCATCGAGTGGTCGACTAATTGTTGCAACCCTAATTCAAAAAAGTGTATTCATCCTTTATTTGCCTGAGACACACTGTTGCTCAATTTAAGATTGTGCACCAACTCCACCGGTCCAGAGCTTGGTTGGCTAAGATTTGCAGTGATATTGACCCTACATGCCACAGGTGTCAACAGTCTTCTCAGCCACTTTATGTCACATGTCCGAAACAATTTCATTTCTAGGATTTAATACTTAAAACTTTCTCAACAATGTCTGGCCGGCTGGTTGCCCCATCTATGTCCATGGCAATATTTGGAGTAACTCCTCTAGATGATAACTTAAGTAGAGTCCAAGCGGACTTCACTTCTGGCCAGAAGACTCATCCTGTGTAAATGTAAGGACTCTCCAACATATGGACGTTGGATCAAGGATGTTATGTATCATTTACATCCATTCACAACCATTTCTAACTTTTGTGGCTAAATGGAAACTGAAAAATTGCAATGAGGCATGCTGTACTGCCCTACTTATGTCACACAAGTTAATTAATTTGTAGTAATTTTCCCCTTTTTTAAATTTTTATATTTATGTACAGATGTCTTTATTGAATGGCCGATAAAAATACCTTGTTTAAAAGAGGTACAGTACCTCAGAACTGTACTTCACTACAGTGCTTGAGTAAATGTACTGTGCTACTTTTCACCACTGGACACACATCCACTCAGGTAAGCTTAAAAAAAAAAAAAAAAAAAAAAAAAAGCAACGGCTGTTTTGTACCAAAGTGCTTTCAAATTAAAACGACAGATTACAACTCACTCTTGGTGATGCAGTGCTCAGCCGGCAAGAGCCTCTTCTTCATCAAACCCTGCAGGACAGACCTGACAGATGGCCGGTGGACCAGCTGTAACACAAACAGGTGGGACTACGGAGAGATGGGAGGAGAAACCATTATTTAAAATGGGATTTTAATGTGAGACATTTAATGTGCTGGACTGTGGGAGCCGAACCCAGAGACAGGAAGCTGTCATCTAAAGGCTACTTACACAACAGCAGGCGGTTACGGTGATCTGTACGGTGTTACGACCCGGCTGACACACTGGTTTTAGGTACAGCGGCTTGTGGGAGGTTTTGTTGTCTCCTCTTTCAATGCACAGAGGAGTTGCGTTGACACTCACCTGATACAGACGAGAAAAAGGGACAGAATTAAATGACAAGTGGCTTTTTTAGCCTTGTTGGATCTATAAATGTTTTACAACATGACCTTTAAAAACTTTTAACACACTGTAGTAACTCATATCCTTTTAAAATTAATAATAATAATTATCACAGCATTAAAGTTTAACAGTTAATAACAGCATCCAGGAGGTATCAAATATCTACAGTGATGACATTTTTAACACAATCGGTCCTTATGGTGACAACAAATAGGAAAAGAGGGCTTAAAAAAAAAACAAAACAAATAGCCAAGACTCAAGTAATAAAATGTATATAACAGCTGAAGACGCTTACTTGTACAGAGGCAGGCCAGTTTGTGTTCATCTGTCTGTCCTCATGGTGGTAACACTTAAACTGCAGCTCCAGATCAGGTCTGCAGGAGGCGACACAACACAGCTATCAGGCACAGACTGGGTGGGGTTATCAGACATTCCTCACTTGGTTTTTGTCTTCATGAAGGCTTTAACAATCAGCCAGGAAGAGAAACGGAGAGCTCTGAATTCACACTGACACTTCGTGTTATGTCTCAGATAGAGTTTTAAAAAGGTTATAGCTAAAATCTGGAGTAAAACAATTCATGATTGTTTTGTTAATTACCAAATATCTGTCCTGTAAAGTGGAACATTAGTCTGGTGTTAAAAATGATGATTTCAAATCTTACTTTGAAGGTATACCCCTTGAGATCTTGTTTTCAAGGGGGTCCTGAGGCACCAAAAAGACACTATCATTGTTATAATTATCAAAGATTTCTGAGATAATGAGGCACTTTGTGTTTCTTTTGGATGTAATTTAAGGTGTGAGAAGAAAAATATGGTATATTTCTGTTTTCTGGACACCAGAAAACCTGAAACAATCCCTTAGTGGTTAAAAGGTCTCTCAAGTGTGTCTTCTTTGCAATCAAGGAAATATTAAGCAACTTAGAAAAACTGTGAGGAATGATGCCATAACAGAAGTTTCTTTGTTCTGAAGTACAAAGCAATGATTTCAGCACTGTATTGGTTTGTGAAAGTGATCGCAGCACTCAACCCAAGAATATAAAATCAACTTTCTTTTATTAACACTGATGAGCAGCAAAGCTTCTTTTATCAGACTCATGAAAAGATGCAACAGTCTGAAGGCTCAACGATATGAAAACAACAGTGTGTGTACCGATCAGTGGTGACACACAAAGCAGGCTTGATTTCAGACAGTCATAATCAGTCAGAAACAATATCAAAAAAGGAACGTACCAAGTGAGCAAAAGACGCTAGAAAAAGACAAAAAAAAAAAACCCTAATGAACAAATAATACAAGAAGAAAATAAAATACTTTTTGACCACGTTTTGTGCAACATATGACGGTAAAACAACAAATAAAGACGCTGAAAGCCAGTACGTTTACATCAATTTATTGTGTCAGTTAGACTAAAACTGGACTTTTAAAATACAAGTAAACACCTGAAGGATGGGACAACTTTGGGACAAGATTTCTGAGACATTTTCATACACATGTAAAATAAACCATGGACCCAGAGCCACGGGTCTCTCCTGAGCCCAGATCTGTGCTTTGGCCTTTTCATCACTGCTAGCAAAACGTCTCAGTCTGTTCAACAGGAAGTCCCCTCTGTTTGGCTGCTGGGTCAATGATGTCATGGCTCACTTGAAGTTAGAAAAGCTCAGATATACCACTCAAGGATCAGTCAATGAATGGCAACCATTCTTGGACTATTATGATAATGTCTATACTTCAAGAAATGTGATCCAATGCCTACAGGTGCTTATTATGGTATCGAACTGTGATATTGCCCCCTCAGTGTTTTTTTAATTGATTTATATTTTGTATATTGACGCCTATTTTGTATAATTAGTGGTGTTCATTTGTTTGTCTGTGCTGGCCAGCCTCGGGGAGGGGCGAGGTGGGATTGGGTGTCTTGGGTTTAGAGAGTATTTGGTCCATGGTTGTTTTGGTGTCAATAATAAAACAATAAAAATAATCAAATAATGTCAGTCCGACTGAAATTGTATTAAATCGAATTTCTCAAAGTCAGACTAACACACCCAGGTAATGCAACTGGGAGTTGAATTCCTCCTGCATGTATACAGTCAATTGCATCCCAAATTGGCCGAGGCGCTCTGCACATGCTCCACGGTTTCCATCCAGGGCGATCTCATACCGTGCCTGAAATCTCGTGAGCTCTAGATAAAGCCCAGCTGGATACTACTCCAGGTGGAGGTGTCTCGTCCTTGGTCACATCCAGACCTTGAAAATAAGGCTGCAACCGGTCCCATTCCTTGCAACAGAGGCATTCCTCTTCTGTGGGCACTGGGGCACAGCATTCACAGGTACACCACCAATCTCCAGAGCTACGCAGCCTTGCAGCAGCCATTCCTCCTCTCTCGTCCTCTACCTGTTGCGCCTCTCTCTCTCTCTCCTCCTCCGTTCTTCAATTTCACGAAGCTCTTCGTCAGTGTATTCTGGCTCAAATAAATAAGGGCGGCCATCAAACTCTGCAAAATCAAATTCCTCCTCCACAAAGTCGAAGTCTGGCAAAAAGTCAGCCATTATTCTATAAATCTTTCATATAATAAATGAATGAACTTTTCAGGCTACTGTCTGGTTCTGCCTTCCAGCTGTTGCTGCTTGTTCTCGCGATATTTCGACCGCGCTTTGGAAAGCAGAGCTAGATGGTAAACAAACATGGCAGCACACCGGTAAGGTAAGACAACACGTTTACATAAAACTTACGTTTTAACAGGTCTGACGCTACTATGCGCCCCGGCTGTATCTAGGCTAACGGCTAACATGCTAACTATTATTTTTATGTCACTCGTGACTTGAAACAAATTTAGGACGATAGGAGACAGGTTGAAATAAACCAAAATTTCCCTTTAATATTTTGAGTGCGTTAACACAGAGAAGTATGGAAAAATGCAGTGCACTATGAGTACCCAGATGGTGCACTCAAAACAGTCAAGAAGTTGAGTGTGGAACTATGGACACTTCTCATATTCAGTGGTCGCCATCTTGGCTACTTAGCGGAAGGGGAGGGACCACTTTTCAAACTGAAAATAGCGGCCAAGGACTGTGCAACCGTGAGCGTCGCTGCATTGTACAAACACGTATTTTTTGCACTAAGCACCACTATATTGTTGTCGGGTATAAGCCAGCAGTATGTTTATTGGGATAATTTAGCAGTCTGTAATGATTTGGTACCACGAACGATAATGCGAATGCTAATTTATAACTAGCTATTTTGCGGTACTCATTTCCGGTGAGTGCACAACGGCCGTGTTTGGTTTGAGACAACACTACCCTGTCGAAATTTGCGCACTACGCCAATAAGTACATAGTGCACATAGTATACTACATGGAAGTGTAGTGATGGAAGTATGTGATTTGAGACACACCAACAGTTCATGCTTTGTCAGCTGAAATTAAATATTTCAAAATATAATGGAGTGGAGGAAAACACGGAATGATGACCTGTTCAAAAAAGTGGCAAAACAGCTGGACGACGCTTGATTGTTTGGTCTGTGACGTAATAGATCAACCAGAAAAAGGTCCAATACTGACAAGCTGAAAGGGGGCATATCGCCACCTATCATAGCGGAGTCGGACAATAAATTGATTCTCTTTCCATGCTTGTATACTAGGACAAGGACAGTAGTCCGATTAAATGGCCTAATGGAGCTATAACCGTAGCTCGAGTGTGTGACTGGAAGGTCTTCCTACCTCAACATGAGTGTCTTGTAGACTGAGTCTCTCAGCTGGAAGGCGTGGTTACTGACAGCCAGGTTGTGTTCCAGTCTGAACGGCTCCAACACCACGCCGTCTCGTACCGGGAACGTCAGACGCAGGTCGTCACTCGGGTTACCTGGAGTGCAAAACAAGAGGCAGACTAAGAACCTTTGGAGAAACTTCACATGCATTTCCAACATAGCTCAAAGCAACTAAATTTAGTTCCTATATGATAGTGAACGGGGTTATAAAAAGTCCCTGCTCGGAGGATGGTTCAGGAACTACCAGGCAAAGTGTGCAGAGCTGAATGACCCTGTGTTTGCTACAACTTGAGTATGACTTCATTCATAAAATAAGGAAGTACTGAGTGCTGTTAGTATAGCCTTCAGGACGAGAGACAGACATTTATTCTTCTTTATTTAAGTTACATTGTTGGCTTTTTGATGCATCTTTATAAAAGAGGAAGACAAAGGGAGAGAGCGTCAGCTACAAGGACAGAAATAAGCTTCGTTTGCTTATTGTTTTATCATAGTCTTCAGTCTCAGTCTTTACATTCATTCACTACATTCACTCAGCAGGAAATACAAGGAACAACCTGATGAGACTGTTGTTTCCTCGTGTGTGAAAATTGTATTGTCATTGTTTAATCTGCCATTGTTGTAATTTGGCTTCTACTTGGTTCGTCAGAAGTGATGGCAATGCAGGTAACTCCTCAAATACATGCAGCAGGTCAGTTATAAGGCTTCTCCTCCACCCCGACACTGTTAGTATTTTCCTCACAGTGCGAATGTGTCTGAAATTTACACAAACTTAAACAGCTAACACTGAAATTGTCCTCATACTGTCTGTGCTGAAAAACCTGTATTCACTCTCTGTCTTAGACGCTTTACTTTAGCTCCTGTCTCTTTAAGAACACCTCCCGAAAAAGCCAAGTCTACTCTGACTGGTCAGCATTTACAGGTCTTCCATATCTCCACATCTCTGCACCGACGTTGCAGCCAGGTAATGACTGTAACGGAGAATAGGGGCCCTTTCTACTGTGGAAAAATCACCAAGGTTTTAAACACCAAGGTTTTAAACACAACCAGACATGTTCCAGCAAGAAAATGATCCGAAATCAGAGACATTAAATCATCAGCAAACAAGATTTCATGCTTCCCCGACGTTAGCATGTAGCTACATGTAGTGTATGTGATGTGAACACTTGCAGCAGCGTGCCTGGAGACTACTGCAGACTTGTGTCTCACCTGTCGAGACCTGCTGGGCGCTGATGTTGGGTTTGGTGTCCGGTGGGAGGTAGGGGGGTTTTGTGTCCTGACCCGGGGACAGGTAGGGAGGTATGGAGGTCCCGGGCGTCATCGGCGGCGTGGGGTTCCCTCCCATCGGCGAGCTGGGATACCCAGGCATCACTCCACCCCGACCTGGCTGAGAGACGAGGAAGAGGACGCGTGTCATCATCATCATCAGTACATTTCTCTGTGTCATTACTCAGTCATTGAATAAGGCACTGAGTCGAGTGCATACATGACTTACTCCGTTGACTGCAGCCTGTGTGAAGGCGTTGTATCCTCCTGCTCCTCCTGACGGCAGGCTGCCCTGACCATTGAACGGCTCCGACTGGTGAACAGACAGGAAACATGACACTCAGCTAACGATCCACACAGCCAGGCTTTGTAAAGTCAGAGGAAATAGAAGTGCTCACCTTATAATACTGTGGAGGATTGGGCTGGCCGGCTCCAGGAGGGAATTGTCCTGGGTTGTGTGATCCAGAAGTGTACTGTCCCATGAGAGGCATCCGACTGGAGGGGTAAGAGGGCGAGGGGGCACATCGCTGCTGTGGACCGGTGGGGTACTGCAGAGGCTGAGACGGGTACCCTGACATCCCTCCAGAACCGTACTGCTGCACCGGGAAACCCTGGGAAGGAGAGAGGAGTATTTGAGAAATACAAAACACATACGTGGAGTCAAAGGAACAGAATACAAACAGAAGCTTGAACCTCACACCTGTGTTACAAAACCATGAAACACTGAGTCACATTATCTCTTTGTTGACAAACATATGTTGATGTTGTTGCACCTCGAGACTCTCACTTCCTCTTTCATGAGTGAGGGCACTGAGTTCACAGCTGTAGATCGTGAAACTGGAAATTGATGATTATCTGGGGTGTTGGAAAAAATTTGCAAACTGGACAGAGAACCTAAGCCTGGTAAGACCATCCTGATGACATGAGCTCAACCTTCTGTTTCGCTCTGTGAATCAGTCTGGCCTCGCTGCCGCCATACTTTGCAGAATTAAAATCTAATCGGGGACAATCAGGGATTCTCACCATAAGCCTCTTTTACACTGCCAGATTTTCGGCAAATGTTGGGCCGGTAAGCTGCGAGTGTTTAGACACACAGAGCCGGATTGGCGAGTTGATCCGAGGTGCCCAATTTTCCGCCTCGTAGGGTAGACGTATTGGTGGAACCTTTTTGGTTTAAAAAGAACGAGGCGCCCTTCCACAACGGGAGGGGCTGTTGATGACTTGTGGGAGGAGCTGTTGATGACGCCGCATGTGTGACCCACTGGCGGTGGATTAAGAGGATACAGCTGACAGCAGGAATTAGCGAGCAGCTAGTAGCAAGAGGGAAACGCAAACCTGACAGACACTGTAAAGATGAGCAAATGGGGAGACAAGGAATTGTGCGCCCTCCTTGTCCTCACAAACAAAGAGGCCATTAACCGTCAGATGACGGGGACGGTGAAGGACGGGTCGACTTACGAGAGAATCGCCGAAGGACTGACCAGCCGCGGCTTCCCTCCCACGTCACTGTTTACGTCACACGCTGAGCTACACGTTTTGTTACTTGCTCACGCCCCCCATTGCCCCGAAACTACAAGATTTTAAACCTGCACAATGTGTAAAGAACCTGGGCGTCATTTTTGACTCTGAACTCAGTTTTATTCCACACATAAAAAATGTAACAAAGACAGGTTTTTATCATCTTAAGAATATAGCCAGAGTCCGCCCGTTTCTCTCTCAGGTTAACACGGAGGTGCTGATGCATGCTTTAATCTCTTGTCGTTTAGATTACTGTAATGCCCTGCTCTCTGGTCTTCCCAAAAAGACCATCTCTAATCTGCAGCTACTCCAAAACTCAGCCGCATGAGTGCTGACGAGGACCAGAGGGTGGGCGCACATTACACCAGTTTTAAAGTCGCTGCATTGGCTCCCCGTGTGTTTCAGGATCTATTTTAAGGTTCTTTTATTAGTTTTTAAATGTCTTAACGGTCTTGGGCCATCTTATTTATCTAACCTGCTTTTATCATATCAACCCTCGCGGGTCCTGAGGTCCTCCGGCACCGGCCTTTTAATTGTTCCAAAAGTGAGAACAAAAATCCACGGGGAGGCTGCATTCAGCCATTATGGCCCTCACTTATGGAACAGCCTGCCAGAGAACATCAGGACTGCAGAGACTGTTGATGTTTTTAAGAGGAGGCTCAAGACTCACCTTTTTAATCTGGCTTTTAACTGATTTCTTTTACTCTTTTAATTCTTCTATTATATGTTATTTTTACTTTCTAATGCTTTTAAATGATTTATTTTTAAATCTTTATGCATTTTATTATTATTAAGTTTCTAAATCTTCATTTATTTATTTATTATTATTAATATTATTTTAATCTTTAAATCTTTAATTTTTTATAAATCCTTACACTTTTATGCATTTTATCATTATTTTATCTCATACTTGTTTTATCTTATCATATTGCCTTTTAGTTTTTAGTTTTTAGCTCCAGTGTTTCCTCATGGGGGGCCTCCACACTGAGAGGTGTGTCCAGTCTGCCCGCAGGGACGTCGTCCTGGACATCCCTCAGGCCTAGAGTACTGGGGGGCTCTGCACCATGTGTGGAGCCTACCTCGGTTTGTCTGGGTCGAGGTGGTCTCTGTGGCGGCGCTGCCTGTGGCCGTAGGCTGTGACACCTCTCAGTGTGGATGGCTCCCCATCTTTCCTCACCTGGTTCCTCAGTGCCCAGCCATGTTATTGACTATATTGACTGTGTGTGTGTGTGTGTGTGTGTGTGTGTGTGTGTGTGTGTGTGTTTATATGTGGGGGGGGGGGGGGGGCGGGTTTTCAATATGTAGTATTTTTGTTTGTTTTTTTATTCTGTGAAGCACTTTGTGCTGCATTTTTAATGTATGAAAAGTACTATACAAATAAAGTTTGATTGATTGATTGATTGAAAAGGTGCATTCTGTATAAACAAAAGTAGGTAGGCAGCATTTTGCTGCACTCCCCGATTTTGTTTTTATACTGCCAATGCTGAAAGAAGACTGATTGGGCTTTCCTGCAAATTTGCACAATTCCTGTTTAAAAATGGCTTGAGTTGACAATGCCAGCAGCCAATCAGGGACTGCGCTGTAGTTGATGATGGAAAAGGCAGGCCACAGGTTGTAGTCAAGGCGAGTACTCCTGCCCACTGGAAGTGTTTGGGGCGTCAGCAGGGCGAGGATGGTCTTACCAGGCTCGGATAATCTAACCTGCACATGCACATCTTTCCTCCTCCACTGCCTCTCAGACCTTTTACACATACTTCCAAAAAGAAAGGTTTTCAATTAAAATCAAGCGCTTCTTCAGCAAAAAAAACCCTTCTGTTTTAATTTCTTCAAGGGCCATTGCAAGTGATACTGACAAGAACAGCAATAACTGTGTAACACTGTGAAACCCTGATATTTTTGGAGGCAGTGATCGAACTGTAAATATCTTGCAACCCCAGAAGCTCAGATCACATGACGCCTTTTCACTCAGCAAAAACCGCCCCACATTCACCCCCCAACAATAGGGTGTTATGGGTGTGGCAAAATGAAATTAAATACACTGGAACTTCTTAATTAACCAGAACAATTTGTCCGTCAGTCAGTAAATATTCACAGGGTGGGGAGCAGGGGTGTACTGCTAGCAGAGTGCACTTTCTTCTTGAAGATCCAATCATCACTAACGCATGAGTCATGCAGTAGATACAATAAAAACTAAAGGAATGGTCAAAGTTTAAGGTGTGTCGACTGATTCAAGATGTCAACTCATGCGTGACGCAGCATGGAAACATTCCACCTCAGAGCAGCAGTCAATTAGATAATTCTTTTCTGAATCTTTAGCTGCTAAGTGTGAACTAGTGACGATGAAACGGCAGCAAACCATCCTTCATTTTATGGTTATAGCTGACTAATGTATGTGAACTTGCCGCCGTGAGAACAGTGGTTAAGTAACCCCCTCCTTTCACCTGTCAAGTGTAGAGTATAGTTCATTTCCTGCTGATTGACTGATCAATTCATTGCACCAGCTCAAATCAAAACTGCTCCCTACTTATCTAATATTAAGATATAAAAAGATCTTCTGTATTTTGACTGTGCGAGCAGACACTGACTGGTGACCCCCCCCTCCTCACTGACCTCTGAATGAAAAGGTCGTTTGAGCCCCTGCTGTGGACCGGGATACCCTCCGTGCTGAGGCATCTTCTGAGCCTGGGCCGGGTGAGTGGGATACAGGCCTGCGCTGGAAGGTGGAGGCCCGGGCCTGGAAGAGACCATCCCTGGAGGGCCGCGGGGGCCCGCATGAGACAGGAACTGGGTGCTGTAAGAGGATGCTCCACCCATCTGGGAGGGAAAGGAAGTACAATAGCAGGGGTAAGGAACAAAGCTCGCTGGGTGGCAGCACAGGGAGGTGGCAGAGTGTGGACAGACAGATCTAAATCATTCCAGAGAAGTGGAACAAGGACTAAAACCAAGCAGAAGTTGTGGTGACTTCAGGTTACTACATACAGTGCCTCACAAAGTGTTCACCCCTTTGTTGTTTTTCTTATTTTGTTGCATTACAACCAGGTCAGACTATGAGATGATGGGCCCCTGGGCACAGATATGCAAAGGCCCCACCACCTCTCCGACATAGGAGCCAGACACACAGACATGTTGTGGGTTTTTTTCATCTCTTTCTGGTCATTTAACATCTTTTTGTAGTCACCTTGAGATTGTTTTGTGTCCCTTTAAGATAATTTTGTGGCTGTGTAGGTCATTTTGTGCTGCTTGTAGTCATTTTGTGTCTCCTTGTGGTTGTTATGTTTCTCTTTGTAGTCTTTTTGTGTCTCTCTGTGGCGGCTTTGCCTGTTTTTGTAGTTATTTTGCATCTCGTTTTTGGTCGTTTTGTGTCAGTTTGTGTCTCCTAGTGGTCATTTTGTGTCCCTTAAAGTTCTCCTTGAGGTTGTTTTGTGACTTTTTGTAGTTGTTTGGGTCCCCTTTAAGTTATTTAGTATAGTAATTAGTAATTTAGTCATTTTGTGTCTCTTTTTTGGACATTTATTGTCATTTTGTGTCTCTTTGTGTCTCTTTATAGTCCTTCTCTGTCTCTCTGTGGTTGCTTTGGCTCTTTTTTGTTAATAGTTTTTTTTTGCCTCTTTCCTAGTTAATTAAGTCATTTTGTGTCTCCTAGTTGTTGTTTTGTGTCCCTTTAAGGTAATTTTGTGTCTGTTTTGGTCGTTTTGTGTCTCTTTAAGGTAATTTTGTGTCTGTTTTGGTCGTTTTGTGTCTCTTTGTTGTCATTTTGTGTCTCCTTGAGTTTGGTTTGTGTCTTTTGTAGTTGTTTGGGTCCCTTTAAGTTAATTTTGTATCTTACTACACTAATTGTGTGTTTTTTTGGTCATTTTGTGGTTGTTTTGTGTCTCTTTAGGAAAATTTTGCGACTCTTTGCAGTCATTATGCATCTTTTTGTGGCTTTGTGCCTCTCTGAGATAATTTTGTGTCTCTTTTTTGGTCATTTCATGTAATTTGTAGTCATTTTGTGTCTCCTTGTGGTTGTTTTGTTTCTCTTTGTAGTCTTTTTGTGTCTCTCTGTGGTGGCTTTGCCTGTTTTTGTAGTTATTTTGGTCATTTTGTGTCAGTTTGTGTCTCCTAGTGGTCGTTTTGTGTCTCTTTGTAGTCCTTCTCTGTCTCTCTGTGGTTGCTTTGCCCCTTTTTTTATATAGTTTTTTTTTTTTGCCTCTTTCTTAGTTATTTAAGTCATTTTGTCTCTCCTAGTGGTTGTTTTGTGTCTCTTTGAGGTTGGTTTGTGTCTTTTGTAGTTGTTTGGGTCCCTTTAAGTTAATTTTGTATCTTACTACAGTAATTTTGTATTTTTTTTGGTCATTTTGTGGTTGTTTTGTGTCTCTCTTGTCAGTCATTTTGTGTCTCCGAGTGCTTGTCTTGTGTCCCTTTAATTTTTTAATTTAAAAATGAACAAAACGTTTGGCCAGTTAGAACTGATTTCCTCCTCTGAGAAGGATAATGAACACAGCCACATAACTAGCTCAGAGGGTGTGTCTTAGGATTTATTTAATTTAAATCTTCACAGTGAGTAAAGATTGTCTGCATTAATACATCTGTACATTGGGGTGCATGATGTTGTCCACTTACTTTGTTCTACTGAACTGGAGACAGAAATAACGACAGCATGTTTGTGAGCTTCTGCAGCGACTCTCATTTTGTAAACAAGTCGACAGTGTTAATAGTCTGGCAAGAGAGAGCGGCGTGAAATGATGTGATGTCTCTGCTGTTAATAAGAGGCATGTGTCATGAATCTGTGTAGGCAGCAGAAAATCAGCTTCTGCTTTGCACCCCTCCTACAACCCTGCAACTAAACATCACAATCATCCAAACACTGGCCGCTGTGTTAAACCTGTAAAGGAAGAACCGTCCTGAACTTTGACTGATGAGTTAGTAAACTCTCAGTAAAAAGTAAAAGCTTTGTTTAAGTAAGCGACAGGTAACTTTTAAATCAATTGCATGATTCATTATTTCAAGATTTTCCAAACACAGAGAATAAAAGGATCGATCAGAAAATAAAACATTTCCTTAAGAGGTTTACTGGAAAGTTTAAGATCATCAGTCATAAAATAATCTTGTGAGAGTGGCAGAAGTGCTTTTCCTTATTCTGTATTTAAAATTTCTTTTAAATGACAACCTGAATGTTACTAAAGAGGAAACACTACAGGTGAAAACATCACCAGTTTTGACATTTGACACGTCTTCTTGTAGGTTAGTGGTGTGGTGGTGGTAGTGGTGTATATTTTTGTTAAGATTTTGGTTCTGGAAATGTATGAAACATGTGCATATTTAATTAGATATATGTATGTTTAAACATTAAATTTCAGAAAACTTCTAATACAAGAAAATATCTGTATAAATGTAAGTAATTAAATAGGGGTTTCTCATGGTGATATCAGTTAAAATTTTAACCCTGCTCACCTATAGTGTCTTATTTTTGGTCTAAAAATGTATGGAAATTTCCAATACATATCTTTAAAGGCTGTTTTCTCCGCGTTTTTTTTAAATATCAATATTGTGAAGGTTTTTACAGAGGGGTTTGTTCATATATCATTCATAGCCTGATTTATAGAACGTTTTATTCATTAAAACATGGCAGAAATTGACTTAATTTAATGGCTGAATTCAAAAGGCTCTGGGGCAGCAGTTGGGAACAAAAGATGATGCCATAGTTGCTAAATTCATGCAGATTGTGTTTTCAGTTTTCTCAACTGCCGATAGCGACGCACTTCACACACTTTTAAGCTCTGAGATTGGATGTTTTCTGTCGAAATGCAGCTTGGGAATCACCACCTTCCACCCCACATTTTCCAGACTTTTTATCAACAAAACAAATATTTTCTAACACAGTTGTTCATCTCCTGTGCTGATGATTCAACCAGGAGAGTTTCATGTCCATCCAAGGTATAGAAGAGCTCCAACTAACACTGTTTATGGAAATAATGAATGTGATTTTTACCTAATAATACCTTAATATGCTAGAAAACCAACATGGACAGGCGGCATTTGCACTGGATCTATTTTGTTCAGCCAAAAAAAAAAAAAAAAAAGATGAATGAAAGTCACTGTTGCCCTCTGCAGATCCCACGCTTTACTACCGAAACACACATGTACCTGGCAGAGACATTTACCTGGCCATAGTTCAGCTCCTGGTTCTGTTTCTCTTGTATTGCTGCAACAGTTGCCGTAGCAGTGGCAGTTGCTGTGGCAGCGGCGGCGGCAACAGCAGCGGCAGCAGCCTGAGTGAAGTCTGAGGGAGGACGGACGCCCAGACCGGCACCTCCGCTGTTACCAGAGTAACTGCAGTGAGAGGGGAAGACGGGAAGATGAGTGGGTGCTGAACTAAGTGAACTCAGCGTGTGTGTGTGTGTGTGTGTGTGTGGTTTCGTCATGAGCGGTGAGTCATAGCAGTGGGTGAGAGCAGCCACGCTGACATATGTTGATGCAAAACCCCGCAGAAATAGCACAAAGCACAATATACAACACTGTTCAATTATCAGACTCTTTTGGTTTTTCTTTTTCTTTCATGATCAAAGTCAGGCTTGAAAAATGTTTCTTACAAAATGTGCTCGGCGTTAAAGGAACAGGAAACTCAAAGCTGTGAATCTTTTCTCCGAAAAGTTAGCGTTAACTTTGTTTCTCAATTCTTGGAAATGGTTTTAGCTGCTGTAAATAGCTCCTGCATTGTTTCTTTACTTGAGTTTATCATCTTTATTTCCTGGTTGTGAAACACTCAGAGAAAAAGGTGCAAATCGGGAACATTTCTCTACCTGGGTGTCTTATCTGATGTGACGGTAAAGAATTACTTCGGGTCAAACTGGTACACCTGCAGGGCTCAACACTATGTTGGGTTTTTTTCCGCATGCCTGGTTGAGCAAGTGAGTCAGAAATCCACCTGCCTGAAGTCAATTATTACTCACAAAGTGTTTTATTTCTCAGCGGTTATCAAATAACAAAGAGTAAAATTAATCGTCATGAAAAAAGGTCAGATTTTATCCGTCTAGCTCTCAAACTTGTGGCACATTGCAAAACATAGTTGGAGTGGTTTCTCCCTAGTCATTAGTTTAAGGTGAAAACATTTTAATATACTCAGCGTCATACCTGCGTTTGGACGTGTCAGCGAGTTAGTAGCTGTCTGTGTCAAGTAGCTGTCCGTTACTCACTCACTCCACAGCAGGAAACAGCACTTCAAATTAAAGCTCTGTGCTGGAAATCCCTTATATTTCAAAATAAAGTACTTGCAGTCCATTCAGAGTGGACCAGTGACCCACTTTGGGATTGCAACCAACCAGTCGGGGACCACTGCTGTAACGCCACTCGACTAAACTCAACTTTCAGGCACATAAATTTTGTCTTTACCTGCTGCCATTTTCTGACGGAAGCCCGAAAGGTACTGTGCATGTGCAACTCTCAGCAGAGAGGAAGACGAAGCGACATGGTTCACTCCTTCCATCATTAGCTCCAGAAAAGACGATGTATTTCATTCCTTTCTGGCATTTTATTTGCCCTGGTGGTAAGTCCTTATCGTTGAGCCCTAATATGGCAGATTTTTTAAAACATTCACAGAGCTTATTCTTTATTCCATACTTGTCCCATACTTTGGTTTATGACCATACATCAGCAGAACTAATGAAACCTTTAGTTGTATTTAGTCCCTTAATCAATCTTCTATTGGTTTTGGGTGTAACACAGGGCTGCTCCATTAATCGAATTTTAATCTAGATTATGATTTGTACTTTCAAGGATTATGAAAACAAAATAATCAACATAAAACGATTATGCGCTTCTTGTCAGTTTACTCTCATTGTCTTGTGTTCCAAATCAAACGCACCCGGAAGCCGTGCATGCGCAATACTGCCCGCTCCTCTCCTCTCCTCTATTCACTCCACGAGCTAGCCAAGTAGGTGAACTACGAATAATGCGAGGGGCAGGTGAACGCGGAAGATTTCAAAAACAGCGTGCAGAAAATGGCAGAGGGAAAGCGAGAGAGGTTGGTCTGTGTGTGTGTGTGCGCGCGCGCATCGGGGCTGAACTCCGCTGTGCGCGATACAGAGAGCAGAGGAGAATTGTAAACGCGCGACCATGTAGAGACAGAAATGACATACTGTCGTGTAAACAATATAAGTCATCACATGTGCTGCATAATCATTTGCATAATCGTGATTATGATTTTTTCCATAATCGAGCAGCCCTAGTGTAACATGAATTCAACCAATCAGAATGTCATCTCCCATTCCCTTTAAAAGCCAGGTGTGCCTGCACCTGGCCCGCTGCTATTTACATGGCGGACTCATCTAATTGGAGAAGTGAGAGTAAACTTGACATGGGAAAACATAACTATACTTTTAGCAGATACGCTGCTCCTTGGGCGTGAGTGCGCACAGCCTCTCTGTTAATGGGGAGTCAGACAGCAGCTCTGCAGCTCTACTCTCTGCTATGTTCACATTTTACAGAATGTTATTAATATGTTCCTCATTAATTATGTATTATTTCACCCACCTGCAACCCATCTGCATCTCTGTGCGTGTGTAACAAGCAGAGTGTATGAGCGTTGTGAACCTGCGTTTGTAGGCACATCTTACTGTGTGAATAATGTGTTCTTTAAGTCAGTGGTTCCCAACTGGTCCAGCAACAGGGTCCAGATTTCTCTGTAGTCACCACCAGTTCAAGGTCCACACAGTCTAATACGTCACTGTCATACCTAGGGGTGGGGGAAATTTCCGATTCTTAGATGCATCGCGATTCGGACGTGGACGAATCTGAATCGATTCACAAACGTCCAAATTTCGATTATTTAAATCTCTTAATTAGAGTAATACAGAAGGTTCTAAATAATGCGGAACTAAGAAGCGCGGTACGTGTCATCTCCGGGACACTTTGGGATGCGCACCTGGAGCGGACACGCCGACACGCTCACAGAGGAAAACAAACATGGCTGACCGCTACCCACCTCGCCGTGAGAGCTGAACAGCTTCTTCTAATTTAAAAGCAGATGTGTGGAAATACTTCGGCTTCTACAACGCTGACGGCGGAAGCAAACTGGACAAGAGCCACGTTATATGTAAGCTGTGTTGTGCTAAAATAAAATATTTTGGCAACACAACAAACATGAGAAGCCATGTAACTCGATTCCACCTGACGGAGGAGTCAGGGAGACGGCAGGCTGTTGTTGCTGCGGCAACTAGTGGTGCTACCGACCAGAGAACAATCGAGGAAGCAATTAGAAAGCTGCCACCCTCATCTGAAAAGGCGAAGCGAATTACGAAGGCCATCGCGGCATTTATTGCCAAGGATTTGCGTCCTTCTTCTGTCGTGGAAAATCAGGGATTTCGAGCACTGCTGCATACACTGGAGCCCAGATACACCATCCCATCCCGACGCTATTTCACCGACACTCTACCATCAAACCAAAACAGAAGTCATGGCCTCACTGTTGAAGGCAGGTAGGAACGCGGTTACATGTGATGCGTGGACGTCTGTCGTCACCGAATCATTTGTTACTCAAACTGCGCATTTTATCTTGTGATTTAAGATACCTGTTGTTACCTTTGGTTCTGTACAACAAAGTTGTAACTTTACAGTTTGCAAGCATTTCCATTTATATGTTTAAAGCCACAGTGTGTAGGAATTTCTCCCATCTAACGTTGAAATCATATATTGTATTCAAACAGATGGCGCACTCTAGCGCCTCACTGTTTCAAACACGTATTGCAACAACAGTCATGTGTACCAAAAAGCTATGATAACACTGATGAAACCGTGTCATCCGATACTACATGGAGTATTCAGGCTCCTACACAGACACATGCGACGCGAGTTAACAAACCCCCTCCTCACCATGCTGGCTGTGTTTACAACGTAGGACTGTTGGGGCGGATGTAAATTGAAACAAACCAATCACGTCTTGTCCTTTGACAACTGACAAGTGGCTCAACCTCACACACCTCATCCCTCTCCTTGCATTACTGCGCCGCTAACAGCTGTTAGTGGCCAGCGGCACTACTGCAGCATAACAAAGTCCCACTCTTTGAGCATAATGCAGGATCATGTATTATGCAGCATCACTGGAGACAGAATCCTCGTCGCCAAGAAAGTGCAAAAGGGAATCAAAAAGGCAGCGTGACCGGTGAATTAAAAAAAACAAGGGTCAGCATTGGGGTTGCCTTTCCCAGGTGGAGAGAGCTGCTGAAGGAGAAAGGTAATACAATCACAGGCCAGCGCTAACAGCGGCTAACAGTGCCTAACAGTGGCTAACAGCGGCACAGTGATGCGAGGAGAGGGATGAGGCTGTTAGCGACTGGCCGCTAACAGCGGCTAACAGCCAACAGCGGCGCTGGCCTGTGATTGCATTACCATTCTCCCTCAGCAGCTCTCTCTACCTGGGAAAGGCTACCCCGATGTGTGCCTTCGTTTTTTTTTAATTCGCCGGTCACGCTGTCTTTTCCCTTTTGCGCTTTCTTGGCGACAAGGATTCCGTCTCCCATGATGCTGCATATGCATGATCCTGCATTATGCTCAAAGAGTGGGACTTTGTTTCAAATTTGCCAGGGTAGTAACGAAGCGCCTCTTGCTCCTCTCCTTCAGCTCCTCAGTTACCCATTGCTGGCCTGGCTCTCAACAAAAACGCTGAAGGCGGTGCTGTACAGTCAGGTCCATAATTATTTGGACAATGATACACTTGTCATCATTTTGGCTCTGTACACCACCACAATGGGTTTTAAATGAAACAATGAATACCTGCTGAAGTGTTTGGGGCTACATTATCTGCTCAGATTCAACCAAATGCTTCAAAACTCATTGGACGGTGCTTCACAGTGCAGATGGACAATGACCTGAAGCATACTGCAAAAGCAACCAAAAACATTTTTAAGGCAAAGAAGTGGAATGTTCTGCAATGGCCAAGTCATATCATCTGACCTGAATCCAATTGAGCATGCATTTCTCTTGCTGAAGCCAAAATTGAGGGCAAAACACCCAAAACACAAGCAGGAAGTGCAGACGGCTGCAGTAAAGGGCTGGCAGAGCATCACCAGGGAAGAAACCCAGCATCTGATGATGCCTATGTGTCCAACACTTCAGGCAGTCATTGACTGTAAAGGATTTGCAATCAAGTATTAAAACTGACTGTTTAATTGATGATTATGTTAGTTTGTCCAAATACTTATGAGCCCTTAAAGTCGGGGGACTGTGTGAAGAAATGGTTGTAATTCCTACACGGTTCATACTACATTTTTGGAAAAAAGCCTTAAATGAAAGCTGAGAGTCTGCACTTTAAGCAGGTATTCATTGTTTCATTTAAAACCCATTGTGGTGGTGTACAGAGCCAAAATGACAACAACTGTATCATTGTCCAAATAATTATGGACCTGACTGTATGTCCCTTGCTGGCGGGTGTATTCTCAAGATGGCGAAACGTAATGGAAAACCCACAGACGACTTACCCGCACAATGTACAAACAAATCCGAAATTCTCCTTTTACGAGAATAAGTCAGATTATTGGTGGAGGTAATAGTACACCAGTGATGACATATTTATGAATGCAGACATCAATTTTTGCCAATAAACAACTGAAAATGTTACACAATGTCCCTTTAATAAAATATAATGGAAATGAATTCAACTCTTTCTTATTACAAATGCACTGTTTTTAAAAATTGCAAGTATTGAAAGCTTATTCAGTGAGACAAAAAGAAATGTGTGTTGTGAAAAAGTCCATCAATATACATAAATTAAAGATGCATCAATAAAAGTTTTATAATCGAATCGTAGCCCCTGAATCGTAATCGTAATCAAATCGTGAGGTGCCCAAAGATTCCCACCCCTAGTCATACCTGTGTTTGGCCATGTCGTTGAGCTAGTTTGCTGTCTCTGTCAGGAAACAGCACTTCAAAATAAAAGCTCTGTGCCAGAAATTCACTGTATGTCAAAATAAAGTGTGTTTCTGGCAAACTTGACACTTTTGCGAGTCACCTGCGGTCCATACAGAATGGACCCAGGACCCACTTTTCGACTGCGACCTACCAGTTGGGAACGACTGCTTTAAACAGAAGGAAAATACTGCGCCAGTCTGACCTTAGACTTTAGATTTTTGTTGGTTTAAGGGCGCAGTCCTTTTCTGCTGCCTCAAAATAGCAATACGCCAACAATGCACCTAAACACATGTCATCTGAAGCCTATGCTGTGTGATGCTTTGCACCTGGTGTAAGATAGGGCGCTAGACATGCTAAACAATAGCATGTTAGCACGCTGACATTAGCATTTAGCTCAAACCACCACTCTCCCTAAGTGCTGCCTCACAGTTCAGATAGCATGGCTGCAGACTTATGAGTTTTGTTATTGTGGCAACAGTAACATGGCAACATTGACTTACTTTTACCTACTCATATTTTGCAGTTACAGCTGTCAATGTGAGCACAAATGTCACATTAAACCGCCGCATTGTTGACTTGTTTTTCTGCTGCAACAATTCAAGCAAACTTTTCATTTTGTTTCTTGACTTTATTTTCATACACCTTACTGTTAACCTGTTTATGTTTTGGATTTGCACCTTATTGACTTTAACTTCCAAATCATTTTCTATATTTTCTAAATGCACTCTTTCCTACTTTATACTGCAACTGCTGCACAGCAATTTCCCTCGAGGTGAATAAAGTTTTATCTGATCTTTATCTATTTTCTTGATTTAATTTACATCTAATCATAAAGCCAATATATATGTATCTGAGCTTCAGAAGGAAAGGCCAAAATAAATTATATTAAACTTAATTTTAGTTGTCATTTGATATTTTTCTGCATTAAATGCTGCTTTGCACAGCACATGTACGTATATATACATACACATAAGAAAGATAAATCAAGTTTCCTGTCACTTTAAAACCTGACATGTTATATTTTTGCAGTCATATCTAAAGTATAATTGCATGTTGAATTCACTCAGCTGAAGAGAAAAGCAGCGTACCTTCCACCGTAGGCTGAGGCCGGGTTGTAAGCAGCACTGGGACGTCCGTACATGACCGGCTGTCCATAGCCTTTAGACACAGCGTCTCCATACGACTGCTGGCCCATGAACTGAGAGCCCATGCCAGGACCCATACCGGGGCTGCCGCCAGGCATCATGTGACCACCTGAGCTCTCACCCGGACCCATGGGGCCACCGAACACCTACGTGGGAAACAGAGAGAGGTGTTACCACAGTGAACAGTCATACGAACCATAGTGAGGGAAATTAAGTCAGTTGGAGAGAGGAAGGTGGGAGACGAAACAGTTATAGTCACCCTGAGAGTCAAGTTAAACTGAAACTAAAAAGAAGACGAAGATGTTTGTGTTTTCATCTGGAAGACACTGACATTCATGAAGTTAAATTAAGGACTGAGTCTTGTAGCTCTTCTCAGCAGTGATGGTGTGTGCACCAACACATTCAAACAACTAATTGGATATTATTCTAAATAACTGACACCAGTTGATTTAAACCTTGGTGGTTTTTGGTAAGGTTTTATTTTGATAATTATCCAGGAAGTGCTCTAGATAGACCGAAGACTAATTTGTTAAGTTGTTAAAATAAAAGCTTAATTTAATCCCAAATACAGACTAATTTAGGGCTGAACTGGGGTTGGGTGATTGGATGATTGTATTAGCTGTTGTTGATGGCTGAGTACATCACAGGTTGGTGTATTTGGCTGTTTTTGGCATTTTATAATCCCTAATTTAATGGTCTGCCCTCTAAGAACAAATAAGAGCTGCAGCTTAGGTGCCCATTAAGCAGCAACGGCAGAAAAAAAAGTGTATTTTCACGTCTAACTCTGTGAATTAAAAACATATTTCGACCAAACCAGAGTCAGTGATTATTTAAACAGTGAAAAGACGAACTGAGAAGGTTCACTTTCAATCCTCTCTCGATATGTCACTACAGGAAGTGCCTTTAGGAGTGACCAATCATGGAAGCTCTGATAACGCCACAATTGTCTGGAGACATGGGTCAGCCCGTCCCTCTTCATAAATGCCTGCACCATGCCACCTGTCATTCTCACTTTCTTCCCCGTGAAGATCATTCAAGCTCCTCAGCTGTCCTGGCACCTGGATTTCCATTTAACTGTTGTCTGATGCAGCCGTCAAGGTAGTCACCGAACATCTGAGAGATCTGGTGTCTGGATTTTTGGATTGTGTATTTTGTTAAGAAATCTTACAATTGTTCAGTTGTGGTGGACATTTACCTGTTTGTACCGTACGCAACAAGCTAACATGTCACGGTGAGCTTGGTACGTTTCATTCTGTTTTCATCGAGCTTAAAGCTAGTCTTAGTTCAGTGAAGGAAACTTTGATTCACAGGGTGTATGGTTTAATGTTCTGTTGCAGAGTTTGATAATCGACTTGTCATTTCTGTCCCTTTTCAAGCAAAAAAAAAATTAACATTTACTGGTTCTAGCTTCTTAAATATGAGACTATGCAGCTTTTCTTTGTGTTTTATGATAGAAAGTGATGTATGATGTCGTAAATGTATGATAGTCTTTGGGTTTTGGACTGTTGGGTGGACTAAACAAGCAATCTGAAGACGTCACTTTAACCTCTGAGAACTTGTGATGAGCATTTTTCATATTTTTTTGACATTTTCTAGACTACATGATTAATCAATTAATCACAAAATTCGTAGTGAAAACAATCTTCAGTTGCAGCCCTATTCTGTTTATTTAGCTAGTTTTTAAAACAGGTGTAAGAATATCAATTTAATGATATTTTGTCCGTTTATTTTGTTAGTCTATTGGCGCCTTTCCAAATGTATCTGCAATCACTAGTTGATGGGATGACAGTGACAATTACATTGATTATTGATTACCTGCAGATTGTCTGGTCTATAAAATGTCAGAAAATAAGTAAAAATACAGATTATAACACCCAACAGCCCAGGCATGTTTGTCCTTCCCATATTATATGCTTATCAAGTCAAGTCAAGTCAAATCTCTTTTAAAAACCTACCTCTTTTCGCTTGCTTTCACCTCTAGTTGAGACAAACATGTCTTTTACAGCTTTTATTTGTATTTTACCTGTACTCTAGTGTTGATGTTTTATTGTCTAAACCTATTGTTGATCTTATTGATAATTTTTGTGGTTTTGCTATTCATTCATTCTTTGGATGAACTGTACAGCACTTTGGTCAACTGAGGTTGTTTTTAAATGTGCTATATAAATAAATTTTGACTTGACTTGATATGCTTATTATATGCTTTGCAGCTCTCCTACATCTTGCAGGGGATTTTTTTTTTTCAAGTCGATAAAATGCTTTTACTCCTACACTTATAAAAAAGGCCAAATATGCATCACTCTGAGAAGTTTGGGACCAACTTAATACGTTAAGAAATGCTCTAATGAGCCAACTGAGGAGTACAACTGTTATTTTTTTTTAAATTAGTGAAGAATGAGACACATTTATGAGGCAGCTCGCTCACTCCTACTTACAGTGAAGCGTGGGAGTGACCTTTAAGAGCAGCTCTCAAGTGTTAATTTACGACTTCATAAGATCCGTCACATCGGAGAGAAACAGCCACGTGGATTTAGCTTCACGTCTGCTCCATTGATAACTTTAAATAATTTTCCTTCTGTTTAAGAACTCCTGATTTCAATTTAAGTTTGATTTGTATTAAATCTTAAATGTCTCCACACATGAATTTAACCAGTGGCTGTCAAAAACCGACACTGGGATGAAATTATAGGCAATATAATGGAATAAAAACATCAAATGAGACTCTTTTCACATTAAAAATACTGATGATTGCCACTATCAGTCAAAGGAAAAATTATATAATAAATTTTGAGCATTTTTCTGGGTAAGGGCTAATGTATATTATCCACTGTAAATCACCTTGCTGTGTATATACACTTACTTTTTAAAGAAAAACTACTTTTCAGTCTTCATCACAAAAACAAAAATAATATAAATTTGGGAACTTTTTTTAAATTAACGTGGTTTATTTCAGCAGTTTTCATCCAAAGATTCAAAGATTTGGGGCTCATACAAAGACTTACAAGCTTTCTGTATTTATGAAAAAGTACGGAGCCCCTAAAGTCCCAAAAAAAAGAAAAAAAAAAACAATTTTGTGCGCACAAGATAAGCTAAATCGAGCACACGAGATACTAAACTGGTGTTGATGGCTTCTGCAGAGATGGAGGAAGAAACTGAAGAAACTCCCCCCCGAGCAACAAAGTTGGACTCTGGCAGTTGTATTTGTATGGATCAATAATGCATTTCTTTGATGAAGTTACTAGAAATTATGTGAAATAAACAAAATATCACAGACCACAGAGCAGGATCTGCAACCTTTTGGATGTTCCTGACAATTTACAATGTTGTTGTTTTTTTACGTGTCAGTTATATTTCTTTATAATGCGCATTGGTTTATTTACTGCTGCTGCACGTCTTGTCTCCTGTCCAAATGGATTCACTTTACAGTACTAAAATACAACTACACTAATACATAACTTGTAGCCTACTATACTGTATGCTGTGTTATGTATTTTAATTAACACACTGCAGAATATAAACACCGAAATAACGGAGGTAACTTTTTGTATTGACGCTGCTGCAGTCAGACTGCAGGGTAAGCAGTTTATTGTCTGACTTGTAAGACTAAAATATCCACAAGTGTTTTACAGTAATTGTTCTACCTGGAGATGATGTACGAGCTCACAGAGATCAGTGTGTCTTGTGTACTGGACTGGACGGCAGCCGGCAGTCATCTAGTGGTCGCACTGTATAGATTTATTAGGCTACATTATAATTCATTATTTGTTATTAGTGAGGATCATTTTAGATGTTGCTTACTGTTTATAGACTGTACTATTTGCAACATCAGCATATAGTTTGTATTCACAAAATACAGTTTGAGCTGTCACGTAACCTCGTCTATAAATAGTACACAGCCATGGTACTGACTCAGACAGTGACCTGTCTGAGCTTTCAGCACCATAGACAGCGACAGTCACAGACTGACAGCTGTCAGTCTGTGTGTGTGTGTGTGTGTGTGTGTGTGTGTGTGTGTGTGTGTTGGAGGGGGTGATCTGTGGCATTGTCCTCTGCAGAAACATTTAGCCCTATGCACAAATAAATCAAAGCGTGGGAAATAACTGTATGTCGAGCGCACGTTTTAGAATCTCATGCGCTCGATTTAGTATCTCGTGCGCCCGAGTTTGTTTTTTTTTTTGTTTTTTTTGTTTTTTTGTTTTTTTGGGGACTTTAGGGGCTCCATAAAAAAGAAACATAAAAATCGTTTTTTACTTCTACAGACTGTGCCACATTTTTGCTACTTTCTCTCATAAATATTAAAGTTTTAGCTTCAGTTGGAAGTCAAGTACACGTCACTTAGTTTAAAGTGATCAAAAATTACTCTCTGATTCACTTTAGATGTCATCTACAGGGATAGTTTGGATCTTTTGAAGTGGGGTTGTATGAGGCACATATCCATAGACAGTGTTTTACATACAGTAGATGTCAGTCACACGCCCCCAGTTTAAAGGAGCAGGCAAGAGTCCGGCACAGAAGCTAAGCAATGTACTGCTGTGGATGGGATCAGCAGCAAAACATATTTTATCCACCTAAAAAAGCCAACATCAATTTAACTGTACACTATATTTAGAATATTTTCACCACTCTACCTTATGGCTGGTTCACACTACACAACATTTCTGTCTGTCCTGACAGTCACTATGTCAGATTAGACAATTGTGGAGTCATAAAATCATGCCGTGACTTGGCCGACAGACATGACACACTACACGTTGGTCCACAACCAATCATCCCTGCTCACCTTTCACAATGTGTGTGATGTCATCGAATTATTCTTGCCCTATTTTTATTATTATTACTATTATTTTAGTCACGGTGTCTGTTCATGTGCCAGCCGAAATGTTGTTCTAGTAACGTAAAAAGTGCCACCACTTAACTTAATGCTAATGGCAGTAATCAGCGGGTTGACAAAGTGCCTCTGCTGTTTCACACTATCATTTTTCCCTTTTTACTCTGTGTGGTAACGTCCCTAGAGGAAATATTAAAAGGCTGAGCTGTTGTTGACATGCAGTTGTCCACAGCAGCAGGTCGTTCTGTGTTCCTATTGGTCCAAATGACGGCTGTGACAATAAATAGAAAATCAAACATGCAAGACTTTTTGTCGGGATGTCGGTTGTCGTTAACTGCGTCATGCTACACGAGATGAAACGATGGATTATTGCGTACAACACTTACGGTCGTTCGTGATCCAAGCCGACATCGTACAACACTGCATTGGACTATAATCAGGCTGATATCATGTAGTGTGAACCCGGCATTACCGTCAGACAACCCGTTCCATTAACGGCGTCAGTTCCCCATTTACATTCTCGTCAAAGCCGCCAGACTCCATTGATAAAAACAGTAATTTTAGCTTGCTGAACACAGGAGCTGCTGGTCTACTGCTGCTTCCATCAGCAAGTTTGCGTTATTGTGTGACTTTGGTGAATCTGAACTAACCCTTTTAAATGCCAGAGTCACACAATAACACAAACTAACTAAATCACAGTTCAGACCAATCTTTTGCAGCAAGACAAAACCGCTCTAGGACGTTGCAGAGAAAAGTTGCAGCAGTGTGAAGTGGCCGGTCTGAGCTCTACTGAAGCCGGCTGACGGTGTCACCTGCAACTCAGCTGGTCAAATCACATATGGCTGGTTTTAGAACGTAAAGCATATCACCTGTTTCAACAGCCAATCGGCTTGTAGTGAAGTCAGCTGGACACACACATTGACTGATTGGTTGGTGCTGCTTACTGAAATTACTGGGTTGTATTTTTTATGAATCCATCTGATGCTCGTTATGGTAATGTTTCTTGCCGTTTCAACATTACTACAAATGCAGCTGTAGCCAGTATCTCACTATCACTATCCTCATTCATACTACAAATTATATTCAGCCGCAAAATATACCTGAAAAGCTGCAAATCAGAACAGAAGTACAGAGAGTTGCTGCATAGAGATGATACACCATCCCATCTAGTTGCACTGGTGTGAACCGGCAGGTTTTTAAGACGTTGCAAAACAGTATGTTGCAAGTAGTTGACTGTTTCAACTCGTTTCGTTGCGAATCTTTGGTCTGAACTGGGCTTAACTGATGGAAGCAGCAGTAAACCAGCAGCTCCTGTGTTCAGCGAGCTAAAATGACTGCTTTTGTCAGGAATCAATAATACACTGAACAAAAATATAAACGCAACACTTTTGTTTTTGCTCCCATTTTTCATGAGCTGAACTCAAAGATCTAAAACATCTTCTATACACACAAAAGACCATTTCTCACAAATACTGTTCACAAATCTGTCTAAATCTGTGTTAGTGAGCACTTCTCCTTTGCCGAGATAATCCATCCCACCTCACAGGTGTGGCATATCAAGATGCTGATTAGACGGCATGAATATTGCACAGGTGTGCCTTAGGCTGGCCACAATAAAAGGCCACTCTGAAATGTGCAGTTTTGCTTTAATGGGGGGGTCTGGGGGGGTCAGAAAACCAGTCAGTATCTGATGTGACCACCATTTGCCTCACTCAGTGCAACACATCTCCTTCGCATAGAGTTGATCAGGTTGTTGATTGTGGCCTGTGGAATGTTGGTCCACTCCTCTTCAATGGCTGTGCGAAGTTGCTGGATATTGGCAAGAACTGGAACACGCTGTCTTATACGCCGATCCAGAGCATCCCAAACATGCTCAATGGGTGACATGTCCGGTGAGTATGCTGGCCATGCAAGAACTGGGATGTTTTCAGCTTCCAGGAATTGTGTACAGATCCTTGCAACATGGAGCCGTGCATTATCATGCTGCAACATGAGGTGATGGTCGTGGATGAATAGCACAACAATGGGCCTCAGGATCTCGTCACGGTATCTCTGTGCATTCAAAATGCCATCAATAAAATGCACCTGTGTTTGTTGTCCATAACATACGCCTGCCCATACCATAACCCCACCGCCACCATGGGCCACTCGATCCACAACACTGACATCAGCAAACCACTCACCCACACGACGCCACACACGCTGTCTGCCATCTGCCCTGAACAGTGAAAACCGGGATTCATCCGTGAAGAGAACACCTCTCCAACATGCCAGACGCCATCGAATGTGAGCATTTGCCCACTCAAGTCGGTTACGACGACGAACTGCAGTCAGGTCGAGACCCCGATGAGGACGACGAGCATGCAGATGAGCTTTCCTGAGACGGTTTCTGACAGTTTGTGCAGAAATTCTTTGGTTATGCAAACCGATTGTTGCAGCAGCTGTCCTGGTGGCTGGTCTCAGACGATCTTGGAGGTGAACATGCTGGATGTGGAGGTCCTGGGCTTGTGTGGTTACACGTGGTCTGCGGTTGTGAGGCTGGTTGGATGTACTGCCAAACTGTCTGAAACGCCTTTGGAGACGGCTTATGGTAGAGAAATGAACATTCAATTCACGGGCAATAGCTCTGGTGGACATTCCTGCAGTCAGCATGCCAATTGCACGCTCCCTCAAAACTTGCGACATCTGTGGCATTGTGCTGTGTGATAAAACTGCACATTTTAGAGTGGCCTTTTATTGTGGCCAGCCTAAGGCACACCTGTGCAATAATCATGCTGTCTAATCAGCATCTTGATATGCCACACCTGTGAGGTGGGATGGATTATCTCGGCAAAGGAGAAGTGCTCACTAACACAGATTTAGACAGATTTGTGAACAATATTTGAGGGAAATGGTCTTTTGTGTGTATAGAAAATGTTTTAGATCTTTGAGTTCAGCTCATGAAAAATGGGAGCAAAAACAAAAGTGTTGCGTTTATATTTTTGTTCAGTGTATATTTAATATACTTAATATGCACACCGCAAATAAATATCTTGAATTAACTGCATAAAACCAACTCAATATGCATAGTTGTAAAATGTCAAAAATAAAAAATGAATTAAGGGGATGGCTGTGGCTCAGGAGGTAGAGCAGGTCGACCACTAATTGGAAGATCAGCAGCTTGATGGTGAAGCATGCTTGGGCGAGATTCTGAATCCCAAATTGCTGTGAATGTGTATTAATGTTTGAACTGATGAGCACCATTTACCATATTTTAATTATTTATGACTGTGTTTTTGTGCATATTCCTGCTATACTCTCAAAAAAATACAAAAAAATAAAAACATAAATATATATTTCAAGAAATATGCTAGAGACAGTTGATGCACCAGTCTGGTGAATACAGGCTTTGATTTCACACATAAATAATAAATAAATAAATAAATAAAAGCCCTTTTGTGTGTCGCTACAGAACATAAAACAGGAGGAGGAGGAGGAGGAGGAGGAAAAGGAAATGTGTCCCCGGGTGCTGAGACATGTGTTACCTGGCTGTGTGTGGGATTGGTCACGCCCCACACTGTGGTTACTACAGAGAGAGATCCTGGGTGCTGATTGGTGCCTGGTTGCCAGGAGACTGGGTCATTCAGGAAGGGGCCGTCACTGCTGCAGGAGGATACGAAGCTGAGTTACTGGGATGGTTAGGAAGGTTCAGGGGAGAGCATTCGTTCAGAGCTCAGTCGCTGCATCACAGACAGTGTTTCATTATTATTTCCTCATTAAAACTAAAGTGTGTTTAACAGCTTGTTATCAGGGGTTATTTGTGCTGCAGCAGCACAGAGAGGACTGAGTTAAAGGTCGTAAGTGCATCATTTACACCTCGGTGAGCTAACGATTAACCTAAGCGTGGTTATTCATCTGACAGTTGAGGTTACCCTCTACTTCCTCCTTCTAAACCATTTCCTCTGCAGGAAACTACCACAACAGCATCACTGTCAGACCACATTGCTGGCGTAATAAAGTTGACATCTTTACCCCTTTGACTGGTGTGTTTTTTAATATTTCACCATCCCTTTTGCACACTTTTTTGGGTTAATAATCACAAGCCAATTTCAAATACACAAGACTGAATCGAAGCACTCGTTTGTTCTTTCTCCTGCTTCCCCTTCTTTGTACAATCAGCTGCGTTTCTGAGGCTGCCTGTCGTGTCAGCGAGTTGGCAACACGTCTCTCACTTTCATGGCTTTCTGCAGAGAAATGGAGCAGTCAACAGGCTTTGTGGCTGCACTCAATTAAAGGAGTGTTTTGGCTCGAGTTAGCCTAATCAAGCTGCCGCCAAAAAGGCTGAACAGAGGACACTCGACCGTCGATTGCCTCACTGTTAAGGATGTGAAGCTGTTTGATGGAATTCATTCATTTTCTCTTGTGTTTATTTAAGTAAACAACAAGGAAGTGCCCATTTCTTCAACATATGCCCACAATGTTGGATTAACACCATTTTGAATTTATAGTTTCATTCATTTCTTTTCTTCAGGCCTTAATGTGCACAGTCTACGAGATTTCTTTTCTGCTTTGACAGAACAAACAATGACTTTACTTTGAACTCTAGCTGTGCAATTATATTCTATATGTTTGACCTTACTCCCTGCAGGTATCACCATTTCATCTCACATCATAGTAAGTACTCTATTCATGGCTCTGATGATGCTGCTTGTGTTTAATAAGTGTGTGGCCTCCTTCATGTAATTGTGCTAGAAGCTGAATTGGAAAATGCTGAGTTAAAGGTATACTAGGGCTTAGCAATAAAACTATAATGGGAATTATCTGGATATAATTTTCCTTGATAGAGATGCAGTAACCGTTCGATAAATCCTGGATATAATTAAACCACCCATACGCCTGTAGCAGGGGGCGGTAATGCACCTTCAAGGCCAGTTAACCAGAAGAAGAAGAAGAAGGACAGAAGTAGTACAAGGTGGTGTTTCTCAAAGTCAAAGGTCTGTCCTTGGTAGAATGAGTACTTCAAAGGATGGATCCTGCGGAAGCAAGGCAAGAGTCCTTCCTGTCATTCAGTGGACACACACGGGAACAAGCTAACAAGTGTCTCCAGGTGTGCGTCATTAACCCTCAGCAGAGTGAAGACTTTTAGAGACAATATATTTCTAGATTATACTTAAAAAACACAAACAGGTAGGCTTAATGAAACTTTTGTGGCACTTACATACACACATGCATCCTTGAAAATTCTCTGAATGAAGGACTCAGTCCTCGGTAGAACTGAAAGGATCCCTGACATTGGAACAGTCCTTAGGTGAGATTAGATGACGTAGCATCCTTGAAATTCAGCCATTTAAGGATCCTTCCTTGACTTTGAGAAACACACAGGGACTGCTGATAAACCAAGACGGTCCACTTTAAGATCCATTTCCTGTATCTGTGTTATCCTTAAGGAGACGAGGAGGGACCATGAGTATGTTCATCCCAATTGGAAAGGTGAAAGTGAGTATAGATTATGACTGTTTCTTCACCCCATAGTCACTGAAGTAAATATTGGACCCATTTTTCACAAGCCCAACACCTTCTGAACATTCTGACACTGAAAACATCATCTCTGTTTGAGACATGTCTTAGCAGCACACTCAACTGACGCAATATTATACTCGGTTGATATCAGACATTAAGCTAGCAGAAATAAACGAGCGGCAAATTAGAAACAAACGTTACATTTGTACTGTATATAGTGTTGTTTTGAATCTGATTTCATCCATCCACACAAGGTTTACAACACTTCAAGACAAGGTGGGGGATATAGCTGTGAGACAGCAAAAGCATCTTACGCAGGATTGTCCGAAAACAAAACCAATGGACGAACTCACACAAAAGTAATCCCTCTAAATCATCCATAATAACCCACCAGAAGTTTGTAGTGATGTATTTATCTGCAGAGACTCTGCCCTTTGTTTGGATTTTCTTCTTATTTTGCTGTGTCTTGGACGTTCTTAGGCAGCGCGCAAGTAAGATTGCGACTTTATAAAAAGGTAGTGACCAGGTGCCAAACCATACGCAGCAGAACTGCGAACACAGCACAGAAAAAACCCAAATAAAGTGAGACAAACGCCAAGCGGACAAAGCTCATTCCAAAACGAGACTGAACCTGAGGTTGGCTTTCACTTTCCCTGGCGAGCTCTGAGAGAGAGGATGGGGAAGTTAGCCCGTTTGCCCGTGGTTAGCTTAGTTAGTTAGCTTGCTGAAGTATCGGCTTCTCCACACAGTGAATGCACCAACTGGAGAATTACCTCCACCAACTGTTGATGAACCAGCTCCTAAAACTGGGCAGACACCAGTACAGATTTGGCCCAATTTAAGCCATGACTTGTTCTTCACAGACTAATTTTCTTATTTGGTATTTCTGCCTGATCAGCTGTGGCTTAATGTGCAATTAGAGGAGGGTTGTTGCAGATTAATTGTCTGAATGATCAGTGATCAGGCTCATGATTTTTTGTGGGGCAGCTTTGGCTCAGAAGGTAGAGTAGTTGTCTACGAATTGAAAGGGTGGTGGTTTGATCCCGAGCCCTGCAGTCCACATGTCGAGTGCCCTTGTAGGATGCACAATTGGCTCCTTGTGCACTTTGAGTGCTCAGTAAGACTACAGAAGTACTTTATAAATGAATCTAGCAGGTCAAAAGGTCAGTTTGCAGAACAATTCCTCTCATAGCTGCTGTCACAAGATCTACTATAAACTGTAGTGCTGTTTTACATGCTGTGGATCAAACTGTAGTCTTGAATGAAACTGAGCCGTGAGCTGCAGAACAAACACAATCCAGACATCTGTGGCTCCAAATTCCTCCTCTTACTTTCTGTCACAGTAGATCTGCACAAAGTACACTGCGTTTTGTCAACACTGCTGAAGACATGATAATCTTGTTTGAAAAAACTTAACTGTCACTGAACAAAGGTACAGATACTTATGTTCAGTGTGACCACCACATCAGCCGATCAACTGATCTGTATAAAGGCTGATAAAGATGTGTAGGTTAACTTTGGTCTTTCTCAACCTGGCCCTATTTTCCTATGTTTTTGTGCATTAGTACCATCTTGGTTCATCTTTCCACTGTTTCAACAATCACTAAATCTGGTCTGGTTGAAATAAACCCTTAATTTCACCCAGTTAGGTGTGAAAACATGCTGCCTCTATACACTAAAATTGCTGTTTATTTAAATGGGGTCTGGTGGGTTTGGCGATGAGATTTTGGGACTGTTTCTGCTTAAACAAAAAGGTCTATCTCTGTAGGGATCAGGCTTGTCACGATACCAGAATTTCAGTAGTTGATACCGATACCAGTGAATTTTCACGATTCTTGATACTCAATTGATACCATGATAAGAATCAAAAAACAGAACTCATGTGTTTCTAAATTCACTGCTTTATCAAAACTGTTTCAAACTCTAACTTTAACTCTAAGGCCGAACAGCGACCTTTCGTGTAGTGCTCGCGAACGGTCGCTGTTTACTCGCATTTTCATTTCGGCGAGCATGTTAACGGGTTAGAGCATTCACAACCGCATTCGTTCTACGCGCTACTGGTGTCGACCTGATAGGCACATGTGGTGTAAATGAGACCCTCTCCACACACTCCTACTACCTGACTTTTCGACTAGCTGAGGTGTTGTGGCTCCAGCAGCACTTGTAAAAGCCATTGTTTCTAGCAAAGACGACAGAGAACAGGTGTTCTTCTTCGGCACTCGTCCTCGGCACCGTATGACACGCGTATACTACCCCCGTCAGTTCCGACAGGAATCGACACGGCCCACTGAGGTCAAAGTTGTACCGAAAAAAACCCCAAAACAAACAGGTACTAACATATTTTTTGTGTGTTGGCATCGACTTAGTACCGAAGTATCGGTTCTCATGACAACCCTAGTAGGGATCCTTTCCATAATGACACTTAAACCCCTTCTCCACCTAGATCAGTATGTGTGCGCAGGTTTTTTTTAACACCGGTAAACCCGCTAGAAATAGGCGACAGACTCATCTCCCATTGCCAATGGACCAGTGCCGTTTTTTCTTTACTGGTGTATCACATTCATTGTCACAAAGTAGGTGGTTACGTCTTTTTTACTCAGTCTCTCTCTCTCAGACTCGATGCTGACAAAATTTGGAACAATGTTTGCACACTGCTTGGATGGCGACAGATGGTATTTTCAGCTGCCTGTCGTTGCATCTCGCAGACAAAGGGGCTAATATTATGCGTCCACCTGAGTGTTGTATTTTCATCATTGTCAAATGAAGCCACTGAAAGCTGGAGCCCTTTAACTACCTGTTACTACTACAGAGGCATTTGTCCCAGGAGTGAATGCTGACTGTGACCTTTCCCATTTAATACAAAAGCCAGATGTTAGTGGGTTTTCTTGTGCATTGAGAAAGGGGCTTTATGTTGTGTTCGCACAAAATGTGATGCGAATTTTCACGTTGCATTGCTTGCGCGGGTTTGAACACTAGAAATTGCATGTATGCGCATGCCTGTAAGACGCGATCACACGTCCCAGGAGGATCTCAATGCTGACTGGTTGAAGTTCAGATTTTTCAACTCTCGCAAATAAGCATATGACATGAAATCGTGCTACTCGTGTCAGTCATGCCGCTTATGTTGCGTCATTTGCTCCGCGTACATCGTGTCCATCATGCCACCCAGCAGGAATTTGCGTCTAATTGCATCTTTATTTTGACTTTACATGTAATTCGCTCGAATGGATTGTTTGATTCGCACCTGGTGTGAACACAACTTTCGAATAACAATCTGAGCTTGTCAGTGGCAAAACTTAAATTTTTGGTTTCCATTAGACACAAAAAACATGGACAAATAGGGCCCAAGTTGAAAAATACTGAAATTATTCTTTAATATTTGCAGTATGCAAATGGAAATGCACATTTGCTTTTGCAGATTTTCCTTAAATTTGGTTAAAATTTGCACCTTATTTGGATGGAAACTTAAAACCCAGATGACCCAAACAGTGCCCTGTATCCAGAGGGGAACGGCCCCCTGGGATGCACAATACACCATAACAAAGACAGGGTGTCACATGGTTCACCTGAGGACACTGAGCGTAATGTCACAACAGAGTGTGTGTGTATGTGTGTGTACCTTTGTGGAGTGGGAGGCAGGGAGGGTTTCATGGAGTTGAGGGGGTTCATCGGATGAACGGGGGGATCATGAGAGAGCCCCCACTGTCCTCAAGAGGCAGCCCTGAGAGGGAGAAAGACACACATGGAATAAAAAAGACGGTTACTCAGAGCTCATTTGCTGCACAGCAACAATTTATCATCACTATAGCCCACACTGTGAGCACAAAGACACAGCGCCCTCCCACTCAGAGCCACTCACTTTAATCTGCGTGTGTGTGTGTGGACTGTGCACATCAAAACGTTAGCCTATCACTGACTGCTGTAGCTCTGATACCTCTCAGAGGTGGGGGGAGGGGTGCTGGAAGCTAAATTTAGCTTGCTGATTTCAAAAGGAATTTAAGAGAACAGAGATGTGAAGAGGCAGACTCTTCTCTCAGCAGCACACCGACGTACAAATCAGTCGCTCGCTTACGCACACGCTTGTTCTGCCGCCGCTGCTGCTGAGAGGAATCATCTTGTTCTGCGATTTGCTTCATTTAATAACACCCCTGCATGTTTATCTGCCACTTTCCCTCCTTCAATACCAGATGTTTTCTTCTATTTCCCGACACATCCCTCATCCTCACTCCATCGCAGCACCCGCTAATGATTCTCTTTATCTGACAGCTACCAACTGACACATGCTAATTTTCCAACATCCCCCCTCCTCTCATTTCTTCTCTTTGGTTATGCACTTTGCAGATTTGGGTCAGACGCCCCATATCTTGTGCAGAACGAGGGGAGGGTTGCTCGTATCACATGACCGTTATACCTGAATTCCCTCCTATCAAAAGGCATCGCCAGCCTCCAGACGGCACCTTGTAACTTCCATCACAGCTGAAACCACACAAAGAGGAGGGGGTGGAGGGTGTGTGTGTGTGTGTGTGGGTGTGTGGGTGTGTGTGTGTGTGTGTGGTGGAGGGGGGGGGGGGTCTGTCTCTATCACAGCACACACTGTACCTGCAGTGGAACGACTGAGACACGCTGTTCTCTCGCTCTCTTTGCCTCTTCTGACCTCAACTTCCTGACCTTTTCTTTACCCGGCAACTCTTCCTCGCCATCCAACTGCTCGCCTTTCTTGTCCTTCTTTCTCTTGTGTCGGAGCTACTGCCGTCACTCTGACAGCCAAAAACACTGCGGGCGCTCCATCAACCCTCGGCTGACCCTTGCTGCCACGACAAACATTGTTTTGTTTTGTTTGGAGCGACTCCAGCTTTTTGTGCAAAATGCAGATGTAACAGATAACAGAGGAAGTGTGGTTCAAGTTTACTGACCAACATTCATTTCTAATCCTCCCTTTTAAATACTACTAAGGCTGCAACTAACAGACTCAACTTGTTTTTGTCAATTAATCGACTTATTTGATTGGTCTATGAATCATCAGAAAACCAAAAAATGCCAGTGCACAAAGTGATTTCAGTCCAAAACAAAGAGAAGCAGCAAACTCACATTTGAGAAGCTGGAAACATCAAATATGTGGCAAAAATGACAAAAAACACCCCTAATTAATTGACAAACTGTTGCAGCTCCACATAATACCATGAAACAGCTGTTTGCACACAGGGGTCCCACTCATTTTACAGGACAGAATTTCAAAACTTTTCCATGACTTTTCAATGACCCACAATAGTTATTTTTACTGCCCCACTTGTCCAGCCTTTTTCAAACATTTCAAACATTATTTCTGCCAGCTTGCATATATTGAGGGAGAGAGGAAACACTAGGAAGAAATTAAGAAATGTACATGATGGTAAACAAAATTGATGCATATTAGAGCTGCATTACATCAAGAGCTACAGAAAATAAATTTGCCATTATGTTACATTACATTGAAGGTTATACATGAAAGATTACTCAAAGAATTTCATTACACACAACAAAGTTCCATGATTTTTCCAGGCCTGGAAACTTTGATACTGTGAAATTCTATAACTTTTCCAGGTCTTCCATGACAGTTGGAACCCTGTGCACGTTATATGGACCTCCAACTGCTTTGGACTTTTAAATTGAAGAGGTTGCAGTTAGAAGAAAGCAGGATTTGGTGTGATTTACGCATGTTTGTAATCCTGAGGGGTGTGGCTTGATGAGGTCCTATCTTTGCATTTGTTGTGACATAATATCTTGCGACTATTTCTCTTACTTTGGATCAATTATAGACCTACATAAATGCTCATAATAACAGGCTCCAAATCTGAGACAACACCTTACAAGTGCTGTCAAACAGAAGCACAGAAACGGAATAGGAAACAGTAGGGACGCGTGCAATTAATATTCTTAACGATTAAACGTCCGCCCCCTCACTAGTCGGCACCAGAAATATTAGTATTCACGTAAAAGACTGCTTGACTGTCATGCAGCCGCCACCACTAGTGGGTGCTACAGAGCCATCAGACAGCAGTCCCCCTCCCCACGGTAATGCTCGAGTAGACTGGAGTTTTAAATTGGAGAGATGTCCTCTCACAAAACCAGCGTGGTTTGGCAGCACTTTGATCTAGAAAATGAATTCAGCAGCAATTAATCTTTTCTGAGGTGGTACATTATTTGTTAACTTTAAGTGAGTTGTTGTCAGATAATGTGCAGGTTTACATTCATACCGCACGGCGCAAAGTGTTTCGTACTTCAGCAGCATTTAAAATCCAACATGGTCGTTGAAGATTGTGATTAAAGGCTTCAAAGGGCTCTTAATGCACACAATATTTTTTGGGGGACAATGTTTCAAATACTTAGCAATAAATTTTGACTGTTTCTGAGTGTTTTCCTTTTTTAGATTGCTCGACTGACCTTAATTAAAATTTTCGTTAAGTCGACACGGAAATTAGTCACCAGGAACAACCCTATTCCTCAGTACTCAAAATCTGTCCTCTGCATTTAACCCAACCTATACAATTAAACCAAAAAACAAGCAAATATCAGAGTCCCAAAATTGAAAACCAAATACCTCACCAACCAATGAATATCCAAACAGTTGAATATTTGAGTCAAGCTCTGCTGTTAGGTAGCAAAGTTGGCATTTAATGTCTGATGAGATTCGTAATCTTGTTCACCCGTCTTCTGATATTTTCTGATACTTCTTTATTATTACCTCAATGAGTTAGGGTAAGGTAGCTGCGATAAAGATTGAATTCGGAGATAAAGAGCGATGGTGTCGTCAGAATCTGCATCAGAAGAGAGAAAGATTGACTGATACTTTGCTACGTTTTTGTGTTTAGCAAACATCAACATTTAAGAACTTTTGGTGCCTGTATGAAAACGTAGGCATTGTATCTTCACTAACAAGTGAAAAGTTCAAACTAAACCCTGCAGTAATCACCACTAAAATTAAAATTAAAGGTTCATGCTTTACTGCAATATCTTCATGATTGTATGCCCTGACTGTTGTGATACAGTGATGTAAAGCAGCTCTTTCAAATCAATAGTATTACGTGATCATACGACACTAAAAACTCACATTTCATAATTAATACACACAGTTTCCAACACTAAACATACAGAAGTCTCTATAGATTCTATTAAAGCTGCTGATGACATCCGGAGCCAAAAAGCAATAATCAAATCCAAGTGAACTAATAATCAATTCAAGTCTGGAGAAAACAGCTATTAATGTTCAAGTATGTATGAACTGCTGGAGGGGAAGAGACGTTGGCAGCTAGTCAGGAGAGATGATTAAATACTCCCTCTGCTACTTAATCAAATATAAAAACAAACACTTTACATAATTTATTAGCTGCCAGTCAGACCACCACGAGGCTCTTAACTTCAGTGGGTCTCGTCAACTGTTATGATAACTGATTGATCTTGGGCCTTTTATTTTGTAAAAATACCAAAACTTTAACAGCTGCAGCTTCTCTGATGAGAGGATTAGCTGCTTTTCTCTGTTTTATATTGTTGTAAATTGATTATTTTTGAGTGTTTGACTGTCAGTTGGACAAAATAATAGAAGATTATGTATCCTGAGGGAACTTGTTGTGCAGAAGTTGCAGCACAAAGGAAGAAAGAGTGCAAATATAAAGTATCAATGATGGTACAAATCAAAAATACACACCGTTAATAGGTTTAAGACATTAAAGGGACATCTTCTGGAAAATTGCAATAGGACCAGAATTCGGCACATGAACAGATACGAAAAATAATCGTCAGTAGCAGTTTAGTTCAGATAGGAGAAAAGAAAATGTTTTTTTGATGCATTTTGATTCTCTCTTAAAATATTTTGTCTTGATGCAGAAAAGTTAATAATCAGTAATTCAAAACCCAATTCTCTGCATTGTGGCTGTAACAAGTTTGTCAGATCAGGCTGTATGTACCTTACGGCTGAACCAATTGGATGGCGAAATGTAACGTATGTCACCATGTACGTCTTGTGTTTATGTTCTAAGCCAGTGGTTCCCAACTGGTCCAGCCACTGGGTCCAGACTTCTCCTTAGTCATTTGTTAAAGATCCACACAGTTTAATACATTCGGCATCATAACTACGTTTGGCCATGTCAGCGAGCTAGTTTGCTGTCTCTGTCAAGTAGCTGTCTGTTAGTGACTCACTCTACAGCAGGAAACAGTACTTCAAAGTAAACGCTCTGTGCCAGAAATTCATTGCACTCCAAAATAAAGTGTGGTTTTTACAAACTTGACACGTTTGGGAATCACTTGGGGTCCATTCAGAAAGAACCCTCAACCTACTTTTGGACCAGGACGCACCAGTTGGGAACCACTTGAATTTTGGTGAGGATGGCTGAGTGAGAGCAACTGCAGCACACCATGGCCTAGAAGCTGGTTGTAGAACCATTTTGGCTTCTGGGAAGTTGAAGGGAAAAGGGACCTGGACGACAACAGTGTAAAGAAGTTGCGTCTAACTAGACTAAAGTATTCTGGGTGTATGACAAATATGAGAGACCATGTTTCACTTTTTTACATGAAGTTGGAGTAACCCCCAAAAATAAATAAGGTACAGAAATAAAAAATGTATGCATCAAGATGTATCCCTTTTCGTTTTATAATCACATCGCAGCCCTATGAATCAACTCCTGAGGTGCTTCGAGATTCCCACTAGGCTTGGGTGGTATCATGATAGTAAGGTACACTGGAGTATTT